AGGTTGTGTTGTAGCGAAGAGCATGACGGGTCAGGTAAACTGAGGCTCCGGTCCCACTTCCCCTAACCTTGATCAGCTTCATTTTCCTCATCTCTAAAATGTGGACAATGATGGCAGTTAACAGTGTTTTGAGGATTAAATGAGATGATGAATCGAGAGGTGTAATCTGTAGGCCCTAGTAGTATTGCACTAATTACCCAGTGTTCTAGTCATTATTTTTTGTTTGTCTGTCTGAGCTTCTTGATGGCAGAAGTCAATTCTTCTTCATCTTTTTAGCCTCAGCATTTGATATTTATGATATCTGGAATCTGTTTGTTGAAATGAATTGGTTTATGTTAGAGATCGGTCAGCTTGCAGCTTTGAGTAACCAAACATACAACCCGAGCGTTGACTCACTGGTTTCGTTCACAGGGTTCACTGGAGCCCTGCGCTTTGGGCCACTCCTTCTCAGAAACATATTTATGCGGAGAGGTCCTAATGGCACGGCAGCTGTGTGCAGTGGGTCCCCGTAGGCATGTGTCCTTGGGCCACACGCTTGCTGAAGGGCGGGCAGTGTTCTCACACCTTGTTCGGTGTACGTGGGCTATGGCTCAGCGCTGGGTGCAGCTCTTAGGTACTGCGGGGGCAGTGGCGGTGGCGGGGCCCTGGGAATTGTTGATATTCGAAGTGGGAGCATGAACAGATGTAGCTCCTTTTGATCTGTGGGATAAAATGTGAGGAAACGGAAAGACTTGTTATTCACGTCCTTAGCCTCTGAAACAAAGGGAGCATCCATAACATTTGGGGTAAATGTAGAAATAAGAAAATAATAAAAAACCCTCAATGCTGATCCTACCACACTGGCAGAACTTCCCATTTATGTTTATGCTGTTGTTATAACTGAATTCAGGCCCCTGGGACATCCGGGGTTTGAAAACTTGGACATTCTCCAACGAGTGTGAGCAGTCTGCTGCTCTTCTGTGCCATAATAGCAAGCTTTGTCCACGCTCAGATGAAGTAGCAAGAGGTGCCACCCAAAGCACATGGGCCATGTTTATGGCCACAGTTGTTGAAAATTTGCATCACTTTCAAATGAGTTAGTTTTCGGGCATCTTAAGAAAGAATTTTGTCTGTGTAACTAGTGTAACAAGTTCTGCCTGACTATTAAGAAACCCTCCCTTTCTGCCTTTTGTTCCCCCTGCACACTGAACATGATAGTTAATTGGGGTCAGAAAGGACTTCATTCCACATTCCATAGTTTCTAGAAATAAGATTGTCATCATTTGCTGTTTAGGCAGCTAGGTCAGGAGTGTCCAAGTTGAAGGACAGTGGGACAGAAGGAGCAAAAGGTTAAGGGGGACTCTGGGCCCTTCACTGAAACCAGGTGACAATTTGAGAAGTTCCCAGTGCCCCAGAGAACAGGGATAGGACAGGCAGCTGTCACTGGACAATGGCTGAATTGGCTGCAAGATCCTGGGGTGATGCCAGGCCCTTGCACGGTTGTCGCATCGCTGCAGTTCTCACGGAACAGGCTTCGCGGCTGCTGGTCTTTCTGGATCGATGCCGCGCATGTGGCAGCCTCTAAGGGAACGCAGTCTTCCTCCGGCACCGTGATGTGGGCCTTTGGCGGTGCCCACACCCTGATACTGTGCCCTGATCTCCCATATGTTTCTCTGGGCCCTGCTAGAGCATTTTTAAAACTTCTCAGCATTCAAAGTCATTATTAATTAAATTATTCAACAAAATCTTTTCAGCCCTGACTGTGTGCAAGGCCTGTATTAGATTCTGGGGCTGTTTTGTGAGCAAAAAACCCAGACAGACACACATACGCTCAAACAAAAGCAGGCAAAAGGCCTGGCCTCAAAGACTTTATAGGTTGGGGTGAGATAGACTTAATTACATGAACAGGTGCGGAGTTGCATTTGTGACGAGTGCTAGGAGGGTGATGTATACGGGGCCGTAAGAGCCTTGTAGTAGAGACACTTGTCCTGAGATTCGATGGAGACCCAAAATTCACAGGGCAGAGAGGGGAAGGGGAAGCATTCCGAGCAGAAGGAACTTCCTGTGGAAACAACTGAGAATGGGAAGGAGCATGGCAGGTGTGGGAGGTGAAAGAAGGCCAGTGTGGCCGACGCGCAGGTTGCACATAGGTGGGGCCAGGCTGAGAAGGGCCTCGTGGGCCAGGTTCCATCGTTGAGTTTATCCTGCCAGTAACGCAAAGCGCCCTGGGTTCTGAAAGGATCGCGGCTGCTTTCGGGTAGAGAACAGAGAGAGAACAGATACAGGGAGAATGGTTGGAAAGCTGTTGCAGTGGTCCAGGGGGAGATGGTGATCTCTTGGTCTAGCACTGCTGGAGGAGGTAAGAGAGGAACGTGGATTCTAGACATGTTCACTAGGTAGTATTGATAGAATTTGGTGATAGATCGGATGTTGAGGGTGAAGGAGGCGGTGTCAGTGGGGAACAGTTCAGGGTCACCTCTAGACAACATGCACAGAGGAGTCCATGTTGGAGCCTTTCCTGGAATGTGTGGTGAGTCAGAAATTCCCCTTGGACTTTTGAGGATGGGTTGGTGGGGGTCAGTCAAGTTTGGGCCTTAGAGGACCCAGTGGAGTAAGTCATAAGAGGTAACTCTTTCTGCTGGTGATGGAGAAGCCCCAAAGCTCTTTCCACGTGGCCAGCCATTACTCCTGCGGACAGGTGGGTTTTGTTTTTGATTTTTCCCCTTCAGCCTCCTTTTGCCTCGCCACAGTATTCTTCTAGGCTTTCTGTGGGCACTTCCAGTGATGTTTGCTTTGGCCTGGTTTCTGGTGGGGATACCTCATGTGTTCACTGATCTTTCTGTCCTGGTTTTCCTTTTTTCCTTTGTTACTTCCACGGTAATAAGAGATAGTATGTCCGTTCACAGAAGAGGTAGTATGGTGTCGTGTAAGAACTAGACTGAGCCAGCCACCAGGCTCAGCCCTAGCCTCCACCACGCGTTCGCCGGGTATCGTCATCTGCAACGTGGAGACAGCAGTGGGCATTAACAGCCCTGCTTCAGATGCTTGCTGTCTGAATTAAGTGGATTAATAAGTATAAAGCCCTTTAAACAATGCCTGGCACATGAGGCTCAAGAACAGTTTATCACCCTGGCTGGGTAGGACAGAATCCTAAAAGGTGTCTCCTGGTAGCTAAAGAAAGAATTCCATTAACCATTTCAAGAACTGATACAAGTGGTTTGGGGTACTGTAAAGTCTTCATCATCAGAAGATGACAGATATTTCTGTGGACCTAGCAGTAGGCTAGCCCTGTCCTTGCTGGCTCTACTGTTAGAGCCAAATTCCAAGCACTAGTCAAGATGATTGCTCGAGTTTTCAAACAGCCCCCTGAATTTAATGAACAGCTTTGCTCTCTCCTCAGAGGAAGATGATAGATAGACCTGTCAAAAAATAATTGTGCTTTAATATAGCTCTTTGCCAATGACAGGTGATGAAAACTCTCCATGAGACTATCTGAATTACTGTATTTTGCTGTGTATAATGTGCACTTTTTCCCCCCAAATTTTTGAGGGAAAATAAAGATGCGCATTATACACGGGTATAATGAATACATACCAAATCCTGTGTATAATGCACGCAAAAACGTGCGTGTGCACAATACACAGCGAAACATGGTACCAGCGCACTGTGACTCCTTAGGCGTGTGCTATGGCCTGAGTGTCTGCAGAGGGAACAGGCCCCCCAGATAACCGGACACTCTCGAGTCTGAGAAGCACGGCTGCAGGTGGACTTGGTTCCACCCTGGGATGGCATTGTAGCCATCTCTAAGATGGACCTTGCTCAAGACGGGTTCTCCGAAACAGCCGTGACTTGTTCTTCAGCCTCAAGACGGCCTTCCGCCCTCTCCTGGACTCGGCTGTGCCCTGGTTTCTTCTAATGCCACACTTCAGACGGAGCTGACTACTCCAGAAAACTCAGACCGCCCAGAGCCTTCTGCCAAAAAAAAAAAAAAAAGAAGTGAAAAAATTCAAATCCAGTTTTATTTGTTGACAAAACTGGTTGTGTCTTGTAGAATGTTCCAGAGTCAGGATTTTGCTGGTCGCATACCCATGGTGTCATTTAACATGTTTCCCTGTCCCAGTGTTGCTTATAAATTGGTAGCATGACACAGACGCTCAAGCAGATTGATCTTAGCTATTTGGGCAAGAATGCTTCCTGGTGGTGTGTTCATTCGCATTCGGAGGCCCCCCAACCCCCGAACCGTGCCTCTCTCTTTGTTAGTGTCACAGCCGCTTATGACTGTGCATTAAGGGTTGCTGGTTATCTTTGAATGGTCAGTAACAACTGAATCTAACAGGGGGCATTTGAAGATGTTTTCATTGGGAAACAGTGGCACAGAACCCGGCCTTCGTTTCTTATTGAAATGATTGTGCCCGCGGCACTGCCTTGGGATCTTAGGTAACTCAGAACGGGCAAAGGATGTCCCAGCTGTCTTCCTGGAGTCCTGGTATGCTGTGGAGTAGATGCATCAATACTGACTTTATAATTATTTTTATTATTTTATTCTCTTTTACAGAGTATTAACTTGATATCCATTCATATTTTCTAGTTCTTATCTTTAAGCCCTTTATATAAGTCCATTTTCTCCCTTTTCAGTCTTTTGCTTTTAATCCTTGCTTCTCACCAGCGGGGGCGGGGCAACGTTCCATGGGACGTCTTCCATTTGCTTTCGGACTCTGAGTGGCCTTACTGTGCTGTGTGACCTTTGATCTTTCAGATACTGCCAATCTCTTTCGCTCTGCTTGGGGCGAGGAATAGTTGTCAGTCCTAAATAATTAGCTTAATATATTGAACTAATTTGTTGGAATTTTCTGTCTCCCTTTAGTTAAAAAATACTTAAAAAAAAAAAAAAGTAACTAGCTTGCCAAAGAAAAAACTCCTGAGGGTTCTGTTTTTGTGTGTATTCTGAAAGCGTGGCTTAAGTTCACTCATTTCGAGCCCTTAAACAAAGAAAAATATTACCCTTTGCTCTTCTCTTTTAGGAAATTCACACAAACGAAAAGGAAGTAACAGAGAAGGAAGTAACTCTTCACTTGTTGCCAGGTAACAGTCATGTTAGCATCATGTGCAACTCAAAGCCAGTGTTAATTATGTCTTTCCTACTATCACTATATATGACTTTGTTTTCACCAGTCAATATGCAACAGTAATGAGTGGGACAAAATATCAAGGTCTTTAGTTCAATAATTACACACCTGAGTCTGAGTATTAAAACATCTGGAAAGAATATTTCCTCTCCCCAACCAGTTGAAAATAAACCTGGGAAATTGTCACTGCTTTCACAGGCAAATGAGGCCTTTTTCAGGCTACCTCACTTGGCCCCATCCAAGTCCTGGTCCTCAGTGAGGGAGACCTGGGTCCCCCACGAAGCCCCGCGCCCGCACTCTCATCCTGTGGCCCAAGTGTATGCCACCGCCCTCAGCGAACGCTGCTCCCAGGCTGCAGCCCACCTGTCCTCCGCGTCCGCGTCTGCGCACCAGCACCAGGCGGGCTGCGGTTTACCAGCCCCCTGCCAGGACTGCCAGGGCTTTGCCCTGTGCTTATCACCAGGGAGCCTGGATTGCTTGGGAATTTTTCAGATGGAGGAGAGTGGCTCGATAGCTTGAGTCAAGCTTTAATCATGTCTGAATTCAGAAACAACTACTTGGTAGTGTGTCCTCTTCATATGTGGGGCTATTGTCTGAGCTGTACATTCAGTTCTCCTTCCATTTTCTGTTTTCTAACCCCAAATAGCTTTTTAAAATAAGTTTTTAAAGGTACATTTTCCTAAAACAATAGGGACTTGTTCTGATACTTTTTATTTTATTCCATTTTATTGGGAGTATATGTATATGCACAAGTTTCTGGCTGATCCACCTTATTTGGTAAATATATTGGAATCCTGTATTTATCTGTCCTCACCTGAGGACATGCTCACTGCTCTTAGAGAGAGGGGAAGGGAGGGAGAGGAAGAGAAACATTGATGTGAGAAAGAAACACCGTGATCGCTTGCCTCTAGCATGCCAAACCTGCAGCCCAGGCATGTGCCCTGACTGGGAATCGAACCCATGACCCTTTAGTCCGTGGGATGCTGCTTCAACCAACTGAGCCACATTAGCCAGGCCTATAAGTGTTTTGTTTTGGGTTTTTTTTAAAATGATTTTTAAGTTTGAAAGTCTTTTTTCGTATAATAATAACCTAAACCTTAATCCATGTACCCCATTGTCTTTGCTTTTCTTGGATTGGAGGTTCTGAGCATAACTTTATTTTTAGCATAGCATTACATACATTCTCCCATCTTCTGGGTTACCTGATGGTCTCTCCTGGGTACGCAGCCGTGAGCTCACAGCTGACTTCTCTGAACCCCAGCTTCCTTGACTAGACCAAGGTCGTTTCCAGCCCCCATGATTCAAGACTGTGTACACACAGATTGGAGACTGTGGCGCAGTGCACGCCATGTTCGTGCAGCCTCTCCTGGGGGAGTGGCCACTGTGCGCCCATTTGTCGTCTCCAGCGCCTGACCCCAGATGGGTAACTGCTTGCCTGGTCTTGGGGAGAGAGTCACTGGTAAAAGCCGTCTCACTGTAGGAACTGAAAGCACAGGAAGCCTTGCTCACATGTCGTCCACCTTGGACTTAGCTGAGGCACTTTTTTCTGGGACTATTTTAAACCTGAATGAAGCCCTGATTTCATTGTTTCCTTCAAGCTCTGTGGTCTCTTTAGAGGCTGACCTAGTGACTGAACCATCTTTCAGTACTTCCTTAGTAATTAACCCCTTAGAAGATGACAACCATACTATAATATGTGTCCCTTGATAGTCTTAGTGTCTGTGACTTTTCTCTTTACATATTGAAGGTTAGACTAAATGAATTTCGAGTCAAACAATAAATTTGAAGACATTGAAGGAAATACCCGGAGGGAGATTCTCAGGGGAAAGTGGTTGTCTGTTGGAGGAGAGGAAATTTCTTTTCTTTTTTGTTGCAAAGTATTTACGCTTAGTGTTTCACTTCCCATATAACCTTCTCTTTTCCTGCCCTCACCCAGCCAGCCAGCCCTGATGAGCTTCTCTGTGAGAGCAGAGAATGCTTATCTTTCCCTAAATCCTGATTTTTTTACTGTAAAAGAGGATCACTCCGTCTCCAGGAAGCACAGCTTTTCATGTGGGCTGGGTGCCTGCAGATAGAGCAGGAAAGGTGATGCACTGAGAGGAAATAATCTCAACTAAGAAAGAGAGGAAACAGTTTTTTCCCCCCTACAAACCTCTGACCTCCCTTTTCCTCCCATCCTTGTCTGTGGAGCCAGTGGTAGCGTGGTCATGTTGCAGCCTCTGCATCTGAGGAAGTTGCTTGAAAGCCCCGTGGCCAGGGAGACGCCCACTCCCTTTGAGCAATTCCAGAGAAGCGGCCCACTCTCACCGCAGAGTGGGCTTGAGACCTGCATTCCGGAGCACGCTGGCGCGCCTTTCTGCCTTCACTCGGTTAGGGTGTTGCTTCTATGGAACATCTGCTTAGGTCCAAGTAATAAAAACATTAAGGTCTTATGCTTGCATGTGTAGCTGAGCTCATTTCCACCTCTTTGGAAACTTCTGTTATTCCGTGAGAGGGTAGAAGGAGGCTCTGTGGAAGGTGTATCTGAGTCATTTATCTCCTCTGTCAGTGGTCCCCGCTCTGCCTCATCTTCTACTTTAAGTTTTGCGGCTGCTGCCTTGTTGGAAAGTGTAAACTGAGTGCTGCGTTGTGTTTTGGGTTGGGCTTTACTTGAATACAGTTGTGGAAGCTTCTGCTCTTCGCATGCGGTCTGTTCCCTGAGGGCTCTAAAGAGGATTTGTTTTGGTTTCACCCAGGTGAGCAGCTGCTTTGTGAAGCCAGCACAGTACTGAAGTATGTCCAGGAAGATTCCTGTCAGCGTGGGATCTATGGGAAACTCGTCTGCACAGACTTCAAGATCGCTTTCCTGGGCAGTGACGAAGCCGCACCGGCCAATGATGTATGTCCGAGCACATTCGGCTGAATTTGAGGGGGCCGTGCAGCTGCGGCCCCACTGCTTTTCCCCAGCTTCTCAATTACTCCACCCCCCAACACACACAAGCACAAAGGACTAGTCTGCTCTCTGTCCTTCAGGATCTCCTTCCAGTGTAGAACTATTCTAGAAATTTCCGCTCGTGCCTCCTGTCACTCTGGCTTGCATTTGCCTTCATAGATTGACACCTCTTACTTTCTTCTGTGTTTCATCGCAGTGTGTATCGCTCATTGGAATGACATCTCCCCAAATATACTGGTTCCCCCATGTTTTTTCTATACTAAACTTTTCCTTACATTTGGGAACTAAGTTTGATTATGAAACTGATGCTGAATATAGCACTTAAATTCGGGTTTACTCTGCACCGAGTGGTGGTGTCCTTGAAAGACCTGTCCCTGCTTATGAAGGACGAGTGGCGCGGTGAGGAGAGAACTGGCCACCCTGCTCAGTGGGCGCCGTGCGTTAATGGAAACGCAGCCGCCGCGGCCCGCCCTTGCTCCTTGAACAGCAGTGCCCTTGCTGTCTCCAAGCGTGGCCTTCTGGCTGCCGTCCACTGCAGCAGCTTGGTCCCCAGTCCTGTAACAGACAGCATGTACAGCCACTTGCGTCCCCCGGTGTCCATGTAGCTGTCCCTCACCTACTTGCGCCTGCGTGGGGGAATCATAGCCTGCGCACCGCTGCCCAGCGCCTCTCGAAGACCGTGTGGGCCATAGTGGGTTTGCCTAGGAGCAGCCTGGGCACGGCAGGCTCTTCCTGCGTGTGACAAGCCAGTGATCACAGCTGTCCTCACACCTCTCATCGTCCCTTTCCCAGGCGTGTGGCTGCATTTCTGTTTTTCTTAATGTGTGAGTGGAGAATGGCGGTTTGTTTTCTCTATAAATCTCCAACAGTGCATCGCGAGGAGTCACAGATGTCCCCTTTGAATCTTGTAGGAAACCCAGTTTAAGAATAAGGTGATAGGAGAAAATGACATCACTCTTCACTGTGTTGACCAGATTTATGGAGGTAAGTATCTGGGGTGTTGCCTGCTTTTGTAGCTGATAATGTTTTTATGGTCCTTTATAGTTTACTAAAATCTCTTCCTATATGTATCTTGTTTACATCAGTTTTATGGATGACAAAATTGACACATGAAGTGACTTGTTTGTGGTCACTAGTAGCTGGATGAGCTCAGACATGAACTGAGAACGTGTTCTTTCTAATACTCCACAATGCCATTATAGAGTAGATTTTGATCATGCTTTTTGCTGTCAATGTAGCTGTGTGGGTTTTACTTTACAGGTTGACCTGATAAAGGTCTCATGTACTGCATTTGAGTGTCTTTTTCTGCTTTCAAGCCTCTGTCTGCTCCACTCCTCTATTTTTGTAAACAGAACTTTCAGAAATCATTCAGTAGTCATTCGTGCTGTTTCCAATGCCAGTGGTGCTGCATGGTCCAAACTCTGGGACAGGGAGGAAGGTGGCAGGAGGGGCCCCCCCGCCATAAACGCAGGAGTCAGCCAACTGTCCCTAGTTGTCTCCCTCCCGCCTTTTGTAATCTCAGCTTTCAGGGCAGGGTTATCCGCGCGTTGGTGGAGTCGGTTCTTTGAACAGCTGCCGTCCTTTTCAGTCCAGGGCTTCCTCCAGGGGAGTGAAGGGCCCAGCGTAGCGGGGTGGGGCGGGGTGGGGCAGGGTCCTGGCTGGCAGTTACTGAGGTGGTGCCCCTCCTCTCGCTTCTGAGAGGCCTCCTTAGGAGTTAATAGTACACCTTGTTTCTTTAGCGCTCACTTGGTACCTTATAACATAAATTCCATTCCTGATTTTATCATTTGTTGTATGTGCAGTGTTTGATGAGAAAAAAAAAACTATCTTTGGACAACTGAAGAAGTACCCTGAGAAACTCATCATCCACTGCAAAGACCTCCGGGTATTCCACTTTTGTCTGAGGTACACAAAAGAAGAGGAAGTCAAAAGGGTAACTAGTTGCATGTGTTTTTAGGTTTTATTTCCCATCAGGTTTTCCCCACTAACTTTTGCTTACATTGCATGTAGATTGAGGGGAGCCTTTTACTCTGTGGAGGTGAAATTGGTTGTAATCTCGCATGCTTTGATTAGAATGGAGAGGAATTTGGTGAAGTGTGCCTGTGTATTACCTTGGCACATGCGCGCTTCTTCAGTCCATGGTGTCTCTATTCCTGGAGCCTCTGAAGGGTGGCAGGTGGAAAGCCAAGGTCGGCAGGCAGTTGGGGAGGAGGAAGGACGGAGCAGCTAGAAGCAACCCTCTTTCCTTGCCCCTGACAGCCTTTCCGAGAGGCGGCAGCAGTGACGTCCCCGCCCACCCCAGCTCCTGGGTAAATGAGCTTATACCTGGGGGGTAGTGGAAGTGTGCAGAAGGAGGAGGCAGAGGTGACGAGGTCAGAGGGCCAAAGCCAAGTCACCAAATGAGCCTGTGCTTTTGGACACTGTAGGGAACTTAATCCAATAGCCACAGCAAATTAGGATATATAACTGGGTGAACTGGTTGTAGTGGTCATTGTGACTTCTAAGATTTCTCTTACTGAGATACTGAAGGTCTCAGACTTGCCACTCTCATGATAAAGTCCCTTGGGGAAACCAGGCGAGAGGCCAGTTCATCTGTTGTCTTTGGCTACACTGAGTCATGCACACTTACAGGCAAGTCCTTGATTTTCTTTCAGGTAGTGTGGAAGTTCAGTTAGAATAATAAACATGACTTCAGTGTCTGTTCTGAGCAGAAGGGTGATGTAGGTGTGGAAAATTCCCTGAGAAGCCAGAAACGTCATTTTGAATGATGATTTTAGTCATCTGTCCAAACACACTTTTGTTTGGAACCTCAAACAGAAAGCACAATGTGTTAATTTCTTTTTATTATCTTCTAGAAAAAAATCCTAAATGCCACAAATGGATCAAAATAACTAAATGTTTTGGTTATCTGGTATCAGCTCTATGTCTTTAATGTCAGATTTTTAGGGTGTCTGAATATGGCACTTGAGGTTTTTTAGCACTTAGTTTTTGAGAAATTAGACTATGGTTCACAAATTTTCCTAGAAATTCAAAGCTCTTAGAAAACCTGACAAAATATTTGGCATTTGTGCATTTGGCATTATTCTAAGAGATTCGGCCATAGGCGCAGATCTCAGCAAGAGTTTTCGTATGCTGCCCCGCAGAACCGGTTGGTTGGCATGACTGAAAACTTAGCTAGCTCAGTGCTTACTGCCCAGAATGTGACTGTATGCCTTCTTCGGTTGTTTTCTAGATTGTCAGCGGCATAATTCATCATACCCTGGCTCCTAAACTGCTTAAGCGATTGTTTCTCTTTTCTTATGCAGCTGCTATACAAAACGGAACAGGTAAGTATCTTCTGGGTTTCAGTTTGTAGGTAGGTGGATCCTCCAATTTCTACCTGAAACTAGTGGTGCTTTCTCTACTTCTCTAACAATTGGTCACCTTTGCTTGGGTGACACATTCAAGTTTCTTTAAAAAAAAAGTTTCTATTTTTTCTGTGATCTTTGTTGTTTTTTACTTATCTTTGAGATTTGTTGTCTTTTTTGTGAGGAATTTTTGATTTGATTGTTTCTTATGAAAGATCAAAGTTGTACAAAGGAGAACACATCAGGCAAGAACCAGATGTCTCACGGAAGAGCGTGAGAGGCAGTATATTCATAGGAGCCAGCCTGTCTGGGTTTGAATCCCAAGTCCACCAGTATTAGCTGTGTGGCCTTGAGCAAATTACTTAAATTTCCTGTGTCCTGGTTTCTTCATATGTAAAATGGAGATAGTAGTGATATTTACGTCACTAGGATATTGGCAAGATTAAATTAGGGAATATACTTACTTAGAAGAGTACATGGCCCATAGTAAACCCTAAGAGTGTACAGTTAGCATTATTTAAAAAAGAACACATCAGGAGACTAGCTTGGTTAGAAAACTTAAGATTACAAATATTTTCCATTCAGTTCGCTGAAAGAGAGAGAGCAGGCTTTTAGCTAAGAACCTCTGGGCATCTGAATTCGCTGTTAATAGAGGCCGCATTGTGCAGTGTTTAACCCACAGAGGTCTGTCTTCTTCCTCCTCTGGGTCTCTCCCCTCCATCGTCAGTCCCCTTGCTCCACCCCTTACTCCTAACAGGAGACTGACATCGGGTGATGCCATGTGCTGTGTGCTTTCCCCCCAGGAAGTGACCTGTTAGTTTAACGCCCGTATTAGGCTTTCTGAAATGCCAGGTTGTCTTGTCACTTGCGGCTCATTCAGCAAGCACTTGCCGAGTGCGCGCTGTAGGTCTGGCCCTGGGGATATGGAGGTGAAGGGACTAAGACCTGGCCCTCGAAGAGCGCCACCTCAGCAGCAGCCAGGTGACGGTGCCCCTGTTGGAAGGGGCCATGGGAGCAAGAGGAGGAAGTGCCTGACCATCCGGGGGGAGGGAGGGCGAAGGCTGTGCATGGCGGGCGTGGAGGATGTGGGAATCTCTGGTGGGCACAGAGGCGGATTTTGGACAGAGATGGGATATCTGAGAGAGCAGGTTGCAGTTTGGGAACTGTGGTGATTTAGTTGAAAAAGGTATGAATTTCAGGGTCTCTCCATGAAATTCAGGCTTGAATTCACATCCTTGCTCAGCTGCTTAGGAGCTGTGTGATCTTGGGGCCTCTGGTTTCTCATTGGAAAAAAACAGTAGTGTTAATGCTTCCTTTGAATTTTTGTGAAGATTATAAATTATTAAGCGCATGATACAGAGGGGACAGTCATTAAGTGAGGGTTAATTGGGAGTATAGCTGCCTGTCATTCAGGACGTGTTATGTTCAGAGAATTACGCTGATGTAACATATAGTAAGCATTAGTATTAGGCTGAACATAAAATTTGTTTCTTCATTCAGCAAGTTCATTTTTGTGACAGATCTCTTCACTGCAGGTAAGCGTGCAAGTGCCGACGAACTGGGTGCTGGCTTACAGCAGCTGGTTGCAGTGTGAGACGGATTTTGCTGACCGCTGTTATCTACATAAACATGTGTTGGCATTCCACTGGAAAAGTCACCCTCTATTTTTTAGGGGTTCTGCTTCCTCATATCTGCTTCCTGACCCAGACCCAGCGTAGGGCGGTGTCCTGTTGGGCCCACATGGCAGTCTGTGTGCTGGAGCCTCTGCCAGGGGCGACCTGGTGGTTTCGTTGCCTTGTGGTGGCTTTTTGTGCCATGGGCCCAGAATATGGAACGTCTCGTGTTCTATTTTAATTCCACCCTTCTTTTGTCCTTTTAACCCCCAATTTTTATAAGTAAAGATTATAATAGATAAATTTGAATTGACCAATTAGTTTTTTCACTGAGTAGGGGTTTGTAGAGGTGGCCACTTTGCAATCTGAACATCTGTAATTATTCTCAGGCTTACCAATTCATAAATATGCTTTGGCTGAAAGGTCCTAAATGCTTAGTCCATGGGGAAATTCTTTTCTTCCAGTTATTACTTTATGGAAATTTTCTTTAGATCTGCCTGGGCTTGAATCCCAGTTCTGCCATTGCGTAGCCCTGTGCTCTTGGGCACGTTATTTGACCTTCCGGTGCCACACCTGTAAAGTGGAGGAAATAATATCACCTCACCTATGGGACTGTAAGGATTAAGTTCATACATTACAGCATATTACAATGCTCAGAACAACGCCTAGCACACACTAAGTGCTCTAAGCTTATATAAGCTTAACTACTGTTTTTTCGAATCATTATTCTTGTTATCATCCTTTGTACAGTGATCTGATTTTATTAAAAAGAGCAGGTGGGAGTTTTGTCAAGACTTTATTTTTCCCAGAATGCTTGTTTTTTAAATGTGCAGAGGCTTGAAATAACCAATCTATGTAAATACCCAAAACTATTGTGGTGTATGTCACCCCCAGGAAGCAGTGCTGTGGCTTGGGAGAGGGTCAGGGACAGTCAGTGGGACAGAGCAGTGCTCCTGGGCATTTCCTTCTAGCAGGTGGTCACAGGGCAGGGGCAGGAGCAAAAGTACCGTCGCCGTAATGCAGCCGTTGGCTGGCAGGCCCTGACCCCGCCATGGCTCGCCGTGGCCCTCAGGAACCAGGTGTCACACTGGAACGTCCTCTTGCTGGCAGGGTATCTTCAGATTGAAGGAGGATTTACATTCAGGAATCCTACATGCTGTTCAGATGGATTTGCCATCCTACCTACGCACATGTTGGTGGGGCTAAAAATATTCTCTGAGCGTTTGTGCTAAGCCTGTCTTTTAGTGCCTCTCAGGATCTTTTTATGTTATATAAATTATCTCATGGTCAGATGACTGAAAATGGAGCTGTAATTACTTTTGCAAGGAATGGAACTAGAACAACCCCTTTCCTCCAGAATCAAGCAACAGAACCTCAGTCATAATTTTGGATTAATGACAAAAAAGAGAAACGAGGTTAGGATTAAGTGGTGAATTCATTCTGCTTGGATAAAGATGGGTGTAGTAAAGGAAACTGGGGCCTGAGGATTCACTCTCACGTCATTAAAATACCAGTGCTTCATGATACGATTTTATTGTCTTTTTGAATTTCTTTTGCCAGCCACCACTCCCAAGAACCACACTGTAATGTTTGACACACTTGAGGACTGGTGCTGGGAATTGGAGCGGACTAGAGGCAACATGAAGTACAAAGCAGTGAGTGTCAATGAAGGCTACAGAGTCTGTGAAAGGTAAGGTTTCAGTGCTGTGCTTTTTAAAACAGCTTTATTGAGATTTGACTCACATGCCATACATTTCACCCATTTGAAATATACTGTGTTCTGAAATATATTCACACAGTTGTGCAGCCATTACTATGGTCAATTTTAGAACGTTTTTGTCATCTCCAAAAGAAACTGCATACCCATTAGTAGCCTCTTCCCAAGTTCTCATGGCACCCCCGGCCCTAGGCATCCACTTACCTACTTCCTGGCTCTGTAGGTTTGTCTGTTCTGGACATTTTATAAATGGAATCATGCAGTGTGTGTTCTTTATGCCTGGCTTCTTTCATTCAGCATAATGGTACCATATGAAGGCTCATCCTGTTATAGCATGTATTAGAATGTCATCTTTTCTATCACTGAATAATATTCCATAGCACGGATGTACGTATACATCATGTTTTATTTATCTATTCCTCGATGGACATTCGGGTTGTTTTCACTTTTCAGCCATTATGACTAATGCTGCATTGAACATTTGGGTACACGGTTTTGTGTGGATGTATATTTTCATGTCTCTTGGGTAAATACCTGGGAGTGGAATTGCTAGACCATAAAGCGACTCTGCATTTAGCTTTATGAGGAACTGCCAGACTGTTTTCCACAGCAACTACCCCATTTTACGTTCCCATCAGAAAGGTCCCGTTTCTCCACATTAATTAAAGTATCCTTTAAAACATTCGAAAGAGAATTTGTGTTTTTCTCCCCATTATTGTATCTGTCACCTAAGTGTAAAATTTTTCGAGGCATTTCTGAACTTATATTGTGTATTTGCTTTTCTCTTACCAAACACTTCATTTATTCATTCAGTAAGAATTTTGAGTGCCTACTATGTGCTAGACAGTGTCCTAGCTACTAAAGATACAGCAGGAAACAGGGTCTAAAAACCCCTGCCCGCCTGGAACTGCCTTACAGTGGAAGGAAAATGATGGCAGAATAAGTGAGCATTTATAGGATATTAAAAGGTGGTAAGCGCTACAGAGAAAAACAGGTGAGGGAAGGGGTTAGGGGGTATGGGAGCTGTTGGTGGGGAGGCCGGTCTGAGCGGGAGCAGCAGGAACCAAGGCCCGAGGTGGGGTCTCATCTGGCTGTGTGAGGAGCGGCGGGGAGCCCAGGGCTGGAGAGGAGCGCGGGTCGGAGTGGCGGGAGGCGGGTCCGGGAGGGCGGCTGGTGGCAGCTGGCGGGGAGGCTTTCAGAAGAATTTATAGCTCAGCGAGGAGGAGTTTGAGCAGAAGTGTAATGTGTTCTGACCTACATTTTAAAGGTTGACTCTGCATAATTCTCTTTTAGAAAATCGTACCATTTTGGAACATAATGCCCCAGCACTGTGCTAACAGTTTCATAAAATTTGCACAGTAATCTTCCCTTATCCACGGTTTTGCGTTCCGTGGTTTTAATTACCTGTGGTCCACTGCAGTCCTAAAATATTAAATGGAAAATTCCAGAAATAAACAGTTCATAAATCGGGTGCTATTTGAGTAGCACAATGAAATCTTAGGCTGTTTAGCTGCATCCCATTGGGTTGCGGGTCATACCTCCCTCTGTGCAGCGTGTCCCCACTGTAGACACGACCTGCCCTCTTGCTGGCCCTCTCGGCTGTCAGGTTGACTGTCATGGGGTCACAGTGCTTGAGTTCGAGCCGCCCTTATTCTACTCAAAAATAGCCTTAAAGTGCGAAATTGGCGAGCGATGCGGCAATTCAGTATGCCAAAATGGAGCGGTAAAGTGTTTTCAAGAGAAAAGGTGAGTACAGTGCATTAAGATATTTTGAAAGAGAGGGGAAAAATCACATTCACATAACTTTTATTATAGTATTTTGTTACAGTTGTTCTATTTCATTATTAGTTATTGTTAATCTCTTACTGTGCCTAATTTATAAATGAAACTTCATCATAGGTATGTATGTATACCTATGTATGTATAGGAAAAAACATAGTGTACCGTATTTTGCCATGTATAATGTGTTCCCGTGTATAATGCACTCCTGTGTTTTTGGCCCAAACGTTCAGGAAAAGAATCTTACATTTTAATTTTTTAATTCAAATTTTATTTATATTTAGAAACAAACTGATTATCATATTCCAGGGTATTATTTTCCATAGAGATACCATTATTGCTTTCTAGAATTACAGTTTTAACCATAAGAATAAATAAAAGAATTAAAAACATGCACATAGATATGGGATTAATACTGCACATGTATAATACACATCCTTATTTTTCCCTTAAAAATTTTGGCCAAAAAGTGCACATTTACATATGGCAAAATGGAGTGAGTGCATAGGATTCGGTACTTTCTGCGGTCTCAGGCGTCCACTGGGGGTTTGGAGCGAGTTCCTGGGGTTAAGTGTGGCTGCCGTGTTTTTGTAGAGCATTTTGTGCTCAAGGTTCAGGTGAGCCTCTTCAGCAGGCAAGTTTCGATGTTGTCCAATCTCAAACATTTATAAGATTAGCTTTCCTGTCACGGGGAACTGGGGTGCCAGTGGGAGGGGCCTGCGGGGTGAATGCTGTATCATACCCCCCCCATCCAGCTCCTTCTCCCCTTTACAGTCACAAAACTGGAAAAGGGAAGGCCAGCACCTACTCAGAAAGAGGCTGGGAACCCCCACTCCTAGGAGGCGGTAGTTTGAAAGGTGACAATGGACCTGATAGGAGCCATTCCCACTGCCAGAGCCGTGTAGGAAAAACCCTGCCACGTACTGATTAAGGTCCCTAGTATTTGCATGGGTGTCAGCATGTAAAAATACATCTGGAGAGGAAGGGGCTCTGGGGAGCCGAGGATGCTATGCTTGTTCATCATTACAGGGTGTGGCAAAAGTAGGTTTACAGTTTGAAAAATAATACAGTAATTAATAAATATTAATACAAGAATAAACTGTTTTGTGTATTCACAATTATAAACCTATTTTTGCTCCACCCTCTGTCCTCAGAACTGAGTGTAGTGCCTGGATTTATGAAAGACTCAAGAAATAGGAGACAGAATGAATAAATTAATGAAAGCCCTTCAGTAGTTAGAGGGGACTCCAGTCACTTTGGGTAAGAATAAAAAACTGAGTGTCTACGTCACCTTCCTCTGCGTTGGTCAGAGCTGGCTATTCCTGTACCGCAGCCTGTCCCTTCTCCTGAAACGCCTTCCTCTTGTCCCACCTCCCTAGGAAGCTATCAGAAGGCCTTGCCCCTGTAGCATATGTGTAACAGAGGAACCTATGAATAGGCCGACGTGGCCGCAGGTAGACATTGCTGCTCCCCTGTTGTCGCTCTGGGGACTCCCTCACCCGAATGAGGCTGTACCTGAGCAGATCATACAACTTCCCTCGAATAAAGTCATCCTGTATTTGAAGGAGCTGTTTACTTTCTATTCTAAATTCATCCTAATCACTAAAATGACTGCTGTCCCAGGAGGGAGGGTTACTTGCTTGTAGACACCGGGAGTCTTATCGCAGAGGCTCCATAGCGCCGCCTGTGGTTCTGTGAGATAGGACAGGGCATCCCCCACCCCCTGCACTGGTGCGGAGCTGTCCATCTCTGGGCAACCTTCTCCTTCCCTCATTCCTTCCTTCCTTCCTTCCTTTTTTTTTTAATTTGCCAGGAAGCAAAATTTCAATGGATTGAGAAAATTCTCCGGACCTTCTTTCTTGAGGGGTACATATGCTGATTCACTTGGTTCTGACAGTTTCTTCCTCCTTTTGGTGAAAGACATAAAAAATTAACTAGATAACCAACACTGTAAGACACACAAATGTTTTAAAGCAATATGGCCCCACCTCGACTTTGCAGAACGAGCCTCTGGGGAAGGAGCTGGGAGTCCTGGTTTAGACAAACCTCGCGGTGACTACTGTAAAAGTGGAGAAACAGCAATCTGTTTGTAGGTTGCCATCTAGAGCACTGCTTCCTCTCACCATTTCTTGTCGAGCTAAGTCTCCTGGAGCTTATTGAAATGCAGAGCTTGAGTCTGTAGGTCTGGGTTTGGGCTTGGGCTTGAGAGCCTGTTTTCTTTATAAACATGGAGCTGATGCTCTTGCATACTTTCAGTAGCAGGATCTTCTAGAACAACAGCTTTCGTCTTGATTGTACATCTGGAGAGCTTTTAAGCTTTTGATAGACAAGTTCTGGGATGGAACCTGGACATAAAGAATTTTCAATCTTACCATATGATTTTAATGGGCAGCCTGAGTTTGAGAGCCATTGATGTATAAAGAAGTGTTTATTTCAGTGACAGTGACCTCTGAAGGGATGACTTACTGCCCATGCACTGAAGCAGACACATGAGAAAATATCCTTACCGCTTCAGAACCTCAAAAGCCAAACACTGCTCCTATGTTTTGATGGTGTGAGGTGTCCTAGCCTTGACCAGTGATTCCCAAACCTAGTTTTACATCACAATATTAGGGGTGCTTTTTTCTTTTTAATTACCTTTAAGATATTTCTCATGGAAAACTTAAAGCAGTGTAAAAGAAAAGTGAATATGATGAACTCCCTTTTCTCTGTCACCTCCTTTCAGCGATTACTAACTCATGGCTCATCCTGTTTTCTATATCCTCCCCTGGATTCTGCTGAAATAAATCCCAGAGCTCATCGCATTTCATTCATAAATATTTCAGTATACATCTCCAAGAATTAAGGACTCACTTTACTTTTAAGATATTACTTATTTAGTGTTTAGAGAGAGGGGAAGGGAGGGAGAAAGAGAGAGAAGGATTGATGTGAGAGAGAAATATTGATTGGTTGCTTCTCATACGCACCCCAACCAGGGACCTAATCTATAACCCAGGCATGTGCCCTGACCTGGAATCAAACTGGCAACCTTTCACTTTTCAGGATGTTGCCCAACCAACTGAACCACACTGGTTGGGGCAAGGACTCTTTTTTTATAAGGCTAACCATAAAACCATTATGAAAACTTTCAAATTTAACATTAACTCTTTAATATCTTTCATACCCAGTGTTCAAAATTTCCCCATGTTTTATATATTTTAAAACAATTTATCTTTCATCTTTTTACCTATTTTACGATTAGTCAGGATACAGTGAGATTGATATTTTGCAGTTGATAGATTTTCAGTGTCTCAATCTATAGATTCACTCACCATCATTTTCTTCTTATACTTTATTTGAAGAAACGAGGCCATTTGTCTGAGAGTTTCCCACAGCCTGGATTTTGATGAGCACATCCCCATGGTGATGTTTAAAATGTTACTCCATCCCCTCTGACTTGATTTGATCCAATGGCTTGATTGCATTCAAATTCGGACCTTTCAACTTGGAAAGTTAATCTTTCCCATGACCTAATATTGATATTTAAGAGATTTACTTCACACATGCAGCATACAAACACCATCTGATTAGTTTCCCTGTAGCTCTTACACCATAGGCACCTTCTGATCTCGTGTGAGGCTTTGTTTCGGGCCCTTTGAGTGAATGATCTTTACAGTTCCCAAGCGATAGAACTTAGGTGACCTTCTTAGTAAAGAAACCTGCATCTGCCAACTACAGGAGGAGATGGTGTGCCCATACATCTCCAGTCTCTGCAACTCTGAAAATCTGTCTTTCCCACGTCCCTTCTTAACAGGTTTGTTATTTTTAGAACCTAACTTTTCTCATGTAGAAACTGAAATCACTGCTCTTTGGGTTAGGTCCCAGCTTCACTAATACTTACTAGTTGTGTAACCTGGGAAGGGCCTTAGCAGTGTTGTGTCTCACTTTCTTTATTTGTCAAATGGAAATTATGATAGTACGTGTTGCTTAGTGACGTTGGGAAGATTAGATGAATAATTCATATTAAATAATTAGAACAGAGTCTGGCATATATTCAATAGTAACACTTAAGTGTTGTTAAAGCACTTCATAAAATGGGCAGTAGTCATACTAGTCCGTCTGAAAGCAACACAGGAGCTTGTATTGTCACTGTGTGATGAGAAAGATCACTCCCAATTTTGGAATTCATATACTTTTAGATATCACATATTCCAATGCCCTCATTCAGTGGATGAGAGGACTGACCCAGAGAGGTAGAGAAATTTATCTATAGTTATCAGAATCAGAAGCAGAGCTAGGATTTGAACTCAATCTGATTTCGGCTGGAGGGAGTTCATTTGCACTGGTTCTTAACAGGGAAATATGGTCCATTTTCTACCACTCTGCTTAGGTTCCTGTGTTCATTAAAGTTGAGCTTTCATATTTAGTGAATTAGTCCAGTACTGACATTGATGACATCTCTTTCTTCTAGGTTGCCAGCATACTTTGTTGTCCCCACCCCTCTTCCTGAAGAGAACGTGTCACGCTTTCAGGGTCACGGCATACCAGTAAGTACATCTGGAAACGGGCTGTTCGTCGGCCCATCTGGCAGATTGTTCACTTAAAGCCCCTGGCTTTGGTACTAAAGAGTTTGTCCTTAGTCCAAGAGTGATCCAAAAATACCTGAGGGACTCCCTGGAGAAGTGAGTCTCTTAGACACAAGGCTCCTGGGGACAGGGTTCTAAAGTTTCCACAGACGCAGTGGCGTTCTTAGCAGAGACATCTTTGGAAAGCTCTAAGAGGATTACAGATCTGTCTGGTTCTGAAAGCTAGCCTGATTTAACACCTAAATAATTTTGAGACTGAGAGGGCCACTCTAGGGGCAGTAGGGTTTAAGATTCCCTTTGGCCTGCACCAGTAATCTTTGAATGGGCGTGGTCGTGGTTTTTCCCAGAGACAACATAAAGAGCTTACTGAGTTTCACAGAACAGCCTGGGATGGGAGCCATATTTAATGTGTCACTGATCAAAGAAAGCAAGACTCTGGCAGTTACTCTAGTTTCTAATGGGTGGTTGGGAGTTGCCAAGACTTCAGGAATTTAGTGAGGAATGAGAATTACAAATAAATGCTATGCTGCGCGCATGGCTGGTTCACCGGAAAGGTCACTCTGTGGAGGAGGTGAGATGTGAAAGCAGGGGTCGCCAGCCCAGGAGCATGTGCGGGGCGGGGGGGGGGGCAAGCAGCCAGCACAGCGCTGACAGAGCACCCGTGTGGCCGCTCCTCCGCGCCTGCAGGTTTGCGCCCGGCAGGTGTGCAGGTCGGCTCTTGCCAGCGGCCTGGCATCTCAGGAGGGACCTCAGATGGGGATTCTTATGTGAGTTTTCTTGATTTCTAGATGTATGCCTTGGATTCAATGGTTTAAACAACATGTCTTGGGGCCCGAGGTGATTTGTGTCCCCCGAGCTGGTAACCTTTAATTGAGAGCAGTAGATCTCCAGCTTCCTGGTCTTAGGACTGTTTGCACCCTTAAACATGACTGAGGATCTCAGAGTTTTTGTTTATGGGGTTGTATCTATTGATATTTGCCATATTAAAAATTAAAACTGAAACAGTTAAAAAATTGTTATTTTAGTGATAAACTCATAACTTGCTAATATAAATAATATATTTCTATGAAATATAAATAATATATTTCTCTGAAATATAACTATATTGTTCAAAAATTTTAAAAATAGAATATCCCTATACACTGGATTCTTCTCTATGCTTCTTTCATTTAGTCTGCTGTGGTATGTTAGGCTTTGGATGAAGTACATGAAGAAAAGTCCAGCCTAACATATGTATTTGGGAAAAGAAGAACTATTTAATAGCCTTTTTCAATAATTGAGAGTATCATTCTTTGATGGTACACCAAAAAATTGACCAGTGGTAGTTTCATAAAGGTTAATTGCAGTTAGGAATCTGAAAATATAATCAACAAACTTTTCATTCTCTGTTAAGTTAAAATCCAGTGGTTTATCTTATACTTTGAATGGATCTTAAAACGTGTGATTTTATAACATTATACATTCATCATCTGGAAAATATTGATTCACTTAGGTAATACAGATTGTCCAGATATTGACATTTCCTTATATAATATTAAAATCACACTCATTTATATCATCCCATCTCATCAGCAAAATCTTTAAATATTGGGAAGCTGTCCAGCCAAAAGGCCAGACACTAGTTTTCCAAAATTCTAATTTTTACTTGAAAATTCAGTTTTTATCATCGGCAACAATTTGTCCGTTGTTTTCCTTGAAGTGATAGACTCACTTCATTCATTATTTTTTAAAAGAATGACTGACCGCCAGTTACCAAAGTCTGAACACCCTTAATTTGTCTATCAATCACCCATTCTTTTAAGTCCATGAAAAAAAGCAGTTAATTCAGATCTCAGCTCAGTTGCATAGGCTCTTTTTCCTTGAGACAAACATTGTACTTTGGTGCTCACCTCCCATCCCGTCACACGGAATATTAAAAAGACATGTAATGGTCAAGATTAACACAGTAATTTTTAGTCCCTCATCCAGGGCATTGTCAAGTGAAACCGAGTGTTTCGGCGCGTGCGTGGCAGTGGGGAATTCCGGGGCAGGCTGTGCCGTGTGGCCGCAGTGCCTGACTGGTGCTGGGGCACCGGCAGTGCCACCCACCACCGGTGCGAACGTCAGTACAGGGAAAGGACAAATGGCAGATCTCGGTGTTTCTCAGGACATCTGGAAGGGGCTTGGACTCCCCGCCTTGGATCTGTGGATTACATTTTGAGAATCACTGTTTTAGAAGAGTGAAAATGAGGGTCTTCGTCCTTCAGCTTTTCATAGGTACATCTAGGAAAAGAGGGTGTGCTCTGTGGGAAGAAACAAAGATGACTTTTCTACACACATGGCAATAGGCTCTCCATCCGGCGCTGTCTGCAATTTGGATGTTGTGTGTTCTAGCCACGCCTTGGGCTGAGAAGCAGAAAACATTTTCAGCTCTGAGTGAGGAGTCGGCAACATAACTGATAGGAACTGTAGGAAGGTGCTCTCACTGTATTAGCTCGACGGCTCTAATCACGTGTCCTGAAAGTCATTAGTAGAGTTTGCATGAATGAACAGCAGAAAAATATTACCTAAGGTGGAATTTATACATTTATTCAGGGAACGCAGAACTCTGAAAACATACAGCATAAATGACACTAGTGACATTTGGTATATTCACGGTCTTGTGCAGCTGTCACCTCTATCTAGTTCCAGAACACACCTTATCTCCATGCTTTTTAACCCTGACTCTCACCTGTTCTTCTTTTCTGCCTTCACTTCCTCTGCAGGGAAGCCTCCACTGCTTGTGATTTTAGTTGTCTCTCGCTGCTGATCTCGAGTCTTTGGCCTCCAACCTAGAGTATCTACTTTCCCCCCCCCCCCCTTTTTTTGCCATGGGGCTTGAACATGGCTGTAGGTTATTTACACCAAACAGCACAGCATACTTAGTGGGATGTACGGAAACTGTTACCTGGCTCAGTTGGGCCCTTGCTCTGCTCGGCCACCTCGCCTGTTGTCTAACTCCTTTTGCTGCCTGTGTCATTCTCCCCTGGGGCTGTTGTAAACAGTTTTCATTCTCTTTCTGGTTATGATTCTGTCTGCACTCTCTTGCTCTCACAGACTGTCTTTCCCATCCTTTAGTGGGATCTCGGACTGTACCACAAGATGCCCCTCACCTTCCTTCTTTTCTACCTCCTGTTGTTTCTCTGGACTCCCCTTTCCTTCACCTGGAATCCAGACCTCTGCCTGGGCCCTGGGCTCCTCTGCCTGGGCCTGTCTGGAGCCTGCTTCCGTCAGCCTTCCCGTCCCACGCATATCTTTCTCCGTGGCCCTCTCCTCTTGAAGACAAACTCAGCTCTCCCCACACGTGAAGAAGCCCTTCCCGAAGAGTCAAGCTAGTGTCTCGTTCTCCTTCCCTGTGCGGCCAGATGTCTTTAAAGAGTCTGAACTCGTTTTCTCCGCTTGCCTCCCTGCTGCCCTCGCTCTGCTGGCCGGCCCCCAAGAGGCTCTGAGCCTGGCCGGCCCGGTGTCTGGGCCATGGCAGCAGCTCTGCCCCTGACACGCCCTCCCCGGTGCCTTTAAGCTCCTGTCGCAGCTTCATACACACTCCACTGTCTTGGTCTCCTTACCTCCTTAGTAGTTCCTTGCTTACACTGACTCCTGGCCTCCAATTGTACATGTTCCCCTCAGCTCAGTCTTTGGCTCTCTTGAGAGAGGCACCGTAAGATATATGAAATAATGAATAGTTTTCCCCTCCCTTTTTTGAGATAGACAAGATTAATGGTCTGTGATTCTTATCCATTGTCAAGTCATTCACACTAAGAACCCTGTGGCCCTTTCCCAGACAGAAATAGTTCATGTCACAATAGCAGAGGACATGTGCTTTTTGCTAAATCCGTGTGACAGGCCTCTTTCTGACCAGGAATATTGCTTGTTTTTTCCTTACTGTTTCAAATGGAGGGTGGTCTGGGAACTGCCCCTTAGCACCTCAGCTGGGCTGAGGCAGTAACTGTTGTGCCTCAAGTAGAAAATGAGTTACGGCTTCATACCACTAAGAGCCACCCTTTCTGCTCAGGAAAGGAGATAAAAAGGATTAAAATCACTCAGTTGCCTAGAACTATCACCCAGTTGTGGTTATGAGTGTCTCCCCCTTTATCAGAATGAACTGTGCCGGTTGGGGGCACGGGACCGCTTGGGCATTCAGAACGTTGCCGCCGGGGCAGAGCGCGGACGCTGGGGCAGTTTTGGCCCGCCGCCCACCGAGCGTAACACTGCACGGGGAGTCAGCGGAAGGCAGAGGGCCCTTTGAATTGTCTCCTGCCAACACTTCCCTCTCCTTGTGAATCTTAAAGAATCCAGGTGCCACCACCCCTCAGGGGAGGCAGTGCTTTTTGGCAGTTTTGTGTCGCTTTGCCCTTGCTTCCCGGGTGGGCTCACGTCTTTTCCATGTGAGCTGGAAGTCAGCTCCCGTGTCCAGAGCTCCAGGCCTGCCTTCCCCTCCTAAGCTCAAAAAACCCCTCTTAGGTGCCTCCTGAATGTCGTCACTTGGATGTCCTACTGGCACCAGACACCCAGCATACCCAACACTGATTATATCACCTTCCCCTGGAGCCCCAAACGGGTTCCTCTATTAGCCTTTCTAAGGGTAGTGCAGAGTATCACCTGGACTGTGCTGATCTCTAGCTTCCCAGCCCAGGCTGCTGCTAACATATCCCAGGTATGGTTTGTACATTGCGGAATAATGGCAACAAGGCGCCCCCTCTCGGCTGTTGAACTCCTGTAGGTTTACCTTTGAGCCAGGGCCCAATGGCATGGTCAGCAGAGTGGGGGCTGGGCTTTACCTACTCTTGAACCTTTAGCCAGGCCCTTACACCAGGCACAAAGTCCATAAATGGACTCAATTGTCCCAACCAGCCTCATCCGCTCCTCTTCATTCGAGGCTATAGTGGGCAGATTACTTTGCTCTATGATCAGTTCTGATCTTCTGTTCCTGTAAAACAGAGGAAGCAAACAAGAAAATGCCCACTGTATCCAGAAAAACACTAGAACCTGTCGCTTATGATCATTCACATGGTTTCTCCCTCCTTTGCCTTCCCTTTGTTGTTCCTTGAAATTCTCTTCAGCTGTGGTTTACCACATTCTACTTCATTAGATTGCTAAGCTCTTTTCCCTCGTAGAGTGTCAGCTCCGTGAAGGCAGACACAGTACCTTAGCCCGCTTTACACCCTCTCACAACCTCTTTGGTGCCGTGCACATGCGAGGCTCCTGCCAGTGTATGTTGAATAGCCGGCTTCCCATTCTCTCGAGCATGAGCTTTCTCCACTGGCAAGGGCTGCCCCATTTTACCATCCAGGTAGGGCACCCGTTGGAGTCAGGCTGCTGCGGCTGGCGGTGCACCTTTGGGAAGTTCCCTGGTCCCTCTAAGTCTCAGTTTCTTGTTGTTAAAGGGGATGATAATCATGCCTGTCTTAGAGTGAGAATTAAATGAGTTACTTCATGTAAAATCGTGACATGAGAAACTGCACTCCAGCGATAGCCACTATCTCACTAATGGTAGCAACGTTGTTATCTGCATCTGGGCTCCCAGCACTACAGAGCCTGTCCACCTAGACCTGTTTTGTTTTTTAAGACTAAATCAATCTTCTTTGTAACTGTTCCTTAGCATAGAAAAGTTGAATATATCCAGCCATTTCATATTGAGCTTATAAATTTCCCTGTATGAATTTAAACAGTAAGCTTACCGCTCCCTGTTGGGTTGTGTATATTATATTTGGAAAACCTTTATTTCTCTCTGCAGATATGGTGCTGGTCCTACCACAATGGGTGTGCCCTTTTGAAAATGTCAGCCCTACCCAAAGAACAGGATGATAGCATTTTACAAATCCAAAAGAACTTCTTGGATGGGTCAGTACTGTTCAACGTTTTGTTACTGTTCATCTCAGTTCTTACTTTCTGAGGAGCACGGAGTAGTTCTTAGTAGTATGTCCATATCTGTTTGCCTCTAACAGCTTAGTGCTCGGGATGCAACACAGAGTGGTTGTTTTTAATTCCTTCAGAAGGTGTATAACACAATCATTAAGAATGTCAGCTGCATAGTTTTTAGAGATGCACGCTGAAGCGTTTAGGGGGAGATAGCAAGATGTCTGTAATGTTAACACTTGTCAAATCTAGGCCATGGTACATGTCACTGAGCTATTTTCTACTTTTCTGCATGTTTGAAAATTTTCAAAATAAGTTTAAAAAAAAAACCCAGAGTGCATGAATTAAAAACAGAAAAGGCGTAGACTTTGCAGTTAAACTGCCTTAGTTCAGATCATGGCTGGATCGGTTTATGAACTGCGTAGGCTTGGGCCAGGAAGGTGCACGCTGCACACCTCCCCTTCCATGTGCATTGACTGGCATGGTCCTGAGGGGCTCGCCTTGTGGGTGGGGGTTCCATGGGAGGGCACTTCCACAGTTCTTCACACAGGTCTCGCCACTTCGTAAGTGCTCAGGAGAAATAAGCTATTTCCAGTTGACATCTGCCCTTCTAATCTCTCATTACTTGTGATGCCTAGAATTTACAGGATCATCCACAGGCCACCCTATGAAATTGTCAAAACCGAAGACCTGTCAAGCAGCTTTGTGTCGCTGCAGGACATCCAGACCGCATATGCCAAATTCAAGCAGCTCTTTCTTATAGGTGAGCAGGATGCTGAGCTGAGCAAAGCCTTTCTGTTAAGTGGGGAAGGACACACCGCGTGGATCAGGCAGAAGTCGGTGCCTTTCCCAGGCTCCTCATGGGAGTGCGCAGAGGTTGTGGCCATGAGGGCCGACGTCGTGGGGTGGAGGGCGGCTGCCTTTGCCACGCTCCCCTCCACTTCCCTTTGGGCTTTCCCCCACTGCCCGTTCTCACAGCAATGGACACAGAGCCACCCGTCCCCGCCTCGCCTTTCCTCAGCACACTGTTGCCCAGTGGTGAACACTGGGCTCCCGTGTGTAAATGCAGTAGAGCCGGGCAGTACCTGTGCCCATGGACTGGCATGCAGGGATGCGCCACGAGAATGATCAGCTTATTTTCCTTAGTGCCTTATTGAATGGGTTCCCCCCTACCCAAGTGGAATTATTTTACTTTTATTTCTGATTGAATATATATACACACACACAGACATATTTATCTGTGTGTATATATATCAATGTAAAAATTTTCAATCAGAAGTGTACCAAGTAGAAAATGAAATCTGCCCATCCCATCCACCCCCACTTCCTTGTCTAGGCTGCCCGCTATGAACAGATTAGAACTTCCGTCAGATTTAATCAAGCTCAGTTGGCTATTAATTCTTTGCATTCTTGAATGAGTCTTTACCCTCTGAGATTTGTCACACTTACAGGTGACTTTTCCTAACTTGGACCTTTGGGTCTAACGAAGCCTAACTAGCTTAGGGGCCCTTCATTTAGTCAGCTGGCACGCACTGAAGTTCCATAGCACGTTCTCACTGTGCGAGGCCCTGGCGGTGAAAATGGATGCGACGCCAAGGGAAGCAGAAGTGGCTACCTCCAGCCAAAACATGTTGTGACACATATTACAATATGGATTTACTAAAAGTAGGGGCCTGGTGAGGAGAGTAAGATCCTTTACTAGTTGATACAGGACTGTGATTCTCCCCTTCTGTTCTCATCATTCTGGACCGACAGGGGTACCTGCTTTTGACTTGATCTTGCAACTTTGAAGTAGTGGGTGTCTGTGAATTCTGGGCTCTCTGTGTTGGGGGGCTGGGGCCATTGCGTAGCGGTGCCCAAGGTAAATGTGTTTGTGCATTTAGGGTTTCAGCGGAAGCCAGGTGTCCCCCTTAGGCCTCGGTGGCATCAGGATGCCTCCCGTTGCCCTCTTCCACCTCCGGGAGCAGCAGCCTGGATGTTGACCGTCTCTGCCCGGAGCGGGCTGCTCTCTGGCTGACTTCAGGGTGGGCCGCGGCCCCGTGTCCCTAGAGCAGGCTCTGTTTATGTGAGCAGTAAAAGCTGTTTTTGACGGCCACCGCCTTCCAGGGCTTTGCAGTTCAGACACCATTTCAGCTGGTGTTTGAAACACCCTTTACTTTAAGTGGAGACTTGTGTCTGGATTCGCACTTGAGCAGGGTGGTCAAGTAGCACCAGCTTTTGTGGCAGGCGTGTGAGCGAACCACCTGACTTCTTTACTCTTTTTTTTTTTTTTTTCTTTTCAGATAACAGTACCGAATTTTGGGACACAGACATAAAATGGTTTTCTCTGTTGGAAAGTAGCAGCTGGCTTGATATAATCAGGTATTTCAAACCATTGATTGCTTGTGAATGTTATAGTTCTCTAAATCAAAGTAGTAAAGCAAATTGATAAATAATTGAAGGGTTTCCTATTTCACAGTTAAATATTCTTAGGTCCTGTGCTCTACTCAGGCCTCATAATTTTACATTTGTTATTTACTATGTGTGTGCACCATTGATCGGAATTTACCAGGAGACCCGCTCTGGCCCGTAGGCCCGGCCTTGAGAGGAGCGGGCTGGTGGGGCGGAGCTGCCTCCAGGGAGGGACCAGGAGGCCGATTTTGTACTGGGTCCCTTTTAGAGGAATTTGGTGTCTTCTATATATGTTACCTGTTAAAAATTTTTTTAAATGACCATTCATGTCAATTTGTGACTTTGAGTTTTAGAATTAGGTTGAGATTCCCAGAGAACAGCATTGTATTCGCTCTCATCCTTCCTCTTTTGACTAGCTCCCCTCTGTGACCAGTAAGTAGAAGAGAGGTCAGAGGTGGGAGGCACAGAACGGACGTGATAATTGGGAGCTTCGGTCCGGGATAGATTTGAGGAAAGAGAGGAATTCTCCCTCGTGCCTGGCCTGGCCTCCTCTCCCTGCCATGCCTGCTGTGTGGTGGGGAGGAGCCTCGGCCCTCCACACTTACTAACAGGTGTTTTAAAGAGCCTGCTGTGTGAATATGTTATGGAAAACAGTGATATGGGTCATAGGAGCCGTTCTTTTTGTGAGGCCGAGAGAAGGCTGAAGGTCCTTAACTAGGCGAAGGGTCGGGGGCGGGGGCGGCCTCACCGCAGGCAGTGGGCAGCACAGGCGAGGCGCTCGTTCTAAGTCAGAGCTGCCAGCAGTGGCCACAGCCTCAGGGGGAACAGTGCGTCTAGAGAGGGACACAAAGTATTTCTGGGCATATTGGGTCTTTTCGGCCACACTGACTGAATCCCACGTGACCTTGAATTAAACAACGTGGATGTGCAGCACTGTCGCCAGGCGTGGGCCTCTGTGGGTCTCACCACCAGGCTCAGGTCTAAGTTCTCACGAAGAATTACTAGGTTAGAAATCATCTAGGAGCACTTTTATGTCAACTTTGGGGTTCCCTTCTGGAAATTTTAAGTTTCTAACAGGCAAAGGAGTGTCTTGCAGTATCTGAGTAGTATAAATGGTCATTTGTTTCTTTTGGAGGCTTTTAGCAAAAATAAGATAGAAAACTGAAGCATAGAAAACTGAAGATAAAAGTAAGATAGAAAACTGAAGATCAAGTCAGACTATTTTCTAAAGTTCTTACCGTTTCAGTACCAAGCTCAAGAACTAATGACCTTTTTTCTTGTCCCTGTTCCATTTAGACGTTGCTTGAAAAAAGCAATAGAAATTATAGAATGTCTGGAAGCACAGAACATGAACGTTCTCCTTTTAGGTAATGTATTTACAGCACACACTGAGGCTTCCATTGTCCTTCCCTTGAGGTTCAGTCCTGTAGACACCGCTCTGCCCGATCGCAGTCGGCTTGAACGAGGCGTGCGCGAGCGTGGAAATCCTCCCCAGGCGCTCCTGCCCTAGCCTCAGAATCCTTTGCGCCCGATTTCAGAGTTACAGTTTAAAAACAAATTCTTTCACTTGGGACTTGGCAGATCTATTTGCAGCCCAAGAAGGAATTGTTTGCTATCTTTACCAAAGCTCGCATTTCTTAATGTTTTGGATTTTGTTTTATATTAACTCAGCTTGGTTAAAGTTACAATCTTTGATAATCCCTTTTATAGAAAGAGACCCATGGATGGTTTAATTATTTTTATGTGTTTGTGTTTGACAACCTCATGCAGTAGCCATAGAAACTGTGTGGTCTGTGACTTCCTTTTCCTCAGTGGGCTTAACCTGCTGTACGTGAGGACAGGATGCAAACATGCACAGTGATAGCAAGTGTAAGCTGCCACGCGGCAGAGATCGCACGGGAACTGGGTTGGTCTGAGCTAAAATAAGATCTGCTGTTTAGAATAATTGAGGTTTCTTAGGGCCCTGCATTTCAGATTTAGTAGATTGTCTCATGCTGTTGTACCCTCAAGCTCTTACTATTTCTCTGGCATGCCCCCTGGCTGCTGAGATTTTGCTTTTATGGGCAGATTGCAAGAGGTGTCTGCCTGTGGCCTCTGTACCATCTGATGCCAGCTCACTGGCTTAGCTTTTAGTACATTTATTGAACACCTACCGTGTACAGAGCTCTATGCTTCTGACTTCTGCAAATTTACAGCCTAATGGGAGAGTCGACCTAAGAACTTTACTGGAAAAGACCCACCCAGCAACAACAGAGTAGAGTACTAACTGGTGAAGAGGAGGGGGGATAAAAATTGGGGGGCTGAGAGGTAGAAGGCCCAGGGCCAGACTGCGCTGATAACACAGTTGCATAAAATGAGATGCGCACCTTTGGCTGCCGTGGCTGATAGGTCACTTGCCCCGACATGGACTGCTGCGTTGCCTCTGGTCTGAAATCTCATTTTCTAGCCCCTCTTCCTAGAACCCATGGGTGTACTCTCAACCCCCTTCAAGTGCAAGAAGGCAGAGTCCCTTCAAAGGCGAAGCTTGTTTTGAAAACTGATAGCACTAGAAAGTCAAAAACGGAAATGTTTCTTTTCACCTTGTGTGTTCCTGGAGGAGAAAAAGAAGCACCCGAAAGCCTGACCCTGTAGCACTTCATGGTTCTGAGGCCACATGAGGGCTTGAGGTGCAGGCACCTCCCTGCTTACAGCCCATTCTTAGTTTCTCTGACTCCAGCAATACCAGCTCCATCCTCCTCAGGGACGTTTTAAAATAGCAACTCAAGTTGCACTTCTTCATTCTGTAAAGAGGAAACTCTGGGGATGTCAGACCCTGACTCTGAAGATCTTAAAACTCTCAAAACTAAAATGCATGGATGTAGATGTATGCTTTGATTTGCTACGAGTCATGAATGTTAAACAAGCATTTGAATGGGAATTGTCATGGGATGGGGGCGGCCGTGGAAATGGGCCATGGGGGAGCTGCTCCTCTGGGCCAGGCCACGAGCAGCAGGCCCTTCTGCCCCTTGGAGAGAAACAGAAAGAGCTGTGTCGCTGAGAACAAGAGCGTCGAGGTGCAGTCCAGAAATACGCAGCCCCCCGCAGAGCAGAGGGAGTGGAGGAATTGGGAGTGAGGAAGGGTGCTGAGACAAGTCCGAAAAGCCGCTGGGCTCGGAGCAGCGAGTTCACTGATGGAGGCTTGGCCACACCGGCGCGAAGGGTTTCGAGCTTGGTCTGCAGAGCCAGCCGGCCACCGTCATGTGGGTGACCCGCCCTCATTGTGTGGCCTGTCCGGGCGCCCACATGCCGACCACGGATTTGCAGCCCTGCTTATCCATTCAGTAAGCAAATCCATATTTACTGCCAGTGTGTGCTGGACCCCTGCTAGGCGGGTGAGAAGCAGTTTGTCTTAGTCGGAAAACATCACCTTTTTTGTAGTTGGCCCGTTTTTAGGGAATTAGAGCTTGACATTTTTAGGGAGTTGTAGCAGGCCTTGGCGATGGTGACCCTGCTGTCAGCTGTGCTAGTGTGAATGCTCTTTGTGGGCGTTTAACATTTCGTATCCTCCTTCCTCTTTGTGCTGCCCTGGTGCCCTCCCAGAGGAGAACGCTTCTGACCTCTGCTGCCTCGTTTCCTCTCTGGTGCAAGTGATGATGGATCCCCACTGTAGAACCAGCATTGGCTTCCAGAGCCTCGTCCAAAAGGAGTGGGTCATGGGCGGGCACTGTTTCCTGGATCGCTGCAACCATCTCCGTCAGAGCGACAAGGAGGAGGTGAGTGTCCTCGTTGTGGGCTGTGTCCGTCCGCGGGGAGAAGTGCCTGGCCTCTGAATTCCTACCTTCTGACGTAGGGCTTCTGCTTGCAAAGTACGCACTGTGTAAGCTCAGTGGGAAGGCTGTGATCAGTTCACCGTTTGATGACTTTGAATGTTTAAACAATGTTGACACCGTTCCCGGAGGGAAGAGGTTAGCAAGTGTGTTCAGAATGTTTTCTTCTTAATTGTGTACATCAAGGGTGTATACATATTTCATGGTGGGCGTAATATTGATTTGTAAAACTTAAATAAGAACTAACTCAGTGAGAGAGACTTCTATAATTTCTGCTCAATTAGTCTTTGCAAAAAAAAAAAGAATATTCAGGATACAAGTTTTCTGTAGAAAATACATAACACAAAATAACTTTTCCTTGCACATAAATCTTTTCAAAATTAATCACAGGGCGATGCGAGCAGCACCCGCCGCCAGGGCCTCTGCGCTGTGTCCGAGAGTGTGGCCCGCGGCCGCCTCTGCCTCTGGCTGTGGGAGGCGCTCTCGGCCTGGGCCCCGAGGGCAGGCGCGGCGGTTGTGTTGGGAGTTCGGTTAATGAGAACGAGCCCGCCCCCGCATTGTGTCCTACTTGGCTGCAGCTGCTCAGACTCCTTTGACTGTATTAGCGATGATAGTGGAAGGAAAAATGAAAACGGCACTTTCTTTAATTAAATCACCTGCAGAGCTGCCGTATGCTTGGGACGTGACTCCAGATAATAAGCATGTCTGTCTGCGATGCTGACCAGCCTGACACACATACTGTGGGACTAGAGAGCCGCGGCTCTTGCCCTCAGAGCCTTGGCGTGCTCCTGGGAGACTTCTTTCAGGCGTGATCTCTGCTCATCCTGACCTCATTGAGCTGAATGGAAATCACTGTCTTCTGTTAATGGAATGGACTTTTCCTTTCTGGGAAGTTAGTTTGAAAGCTTATGGGACTCAAAAAATGTGGGCAAAGAGAGCTGGTAACTGTGGGGAAGAGTGTGTTTTTATAGCTGAGAAAGTGGGGCTGACAGGCGTCGCGTCTGATGGGGAATGAAGCTAAGAGAAGGTCTGACTGCTGCTCAGCCGGCCCTTGGAGAAGGCCCGTGCTTTCTGAGCCCGTTTTCTGGATGCACAACGGGGTTCAGATAGTTCTCACTCCCTTTAATGGTACTGAGCATGAAATGAAGCATGAAATAAAATTGCAGTGTAAGTGTTTCTTAGCATCAGCATGGACGTAGTAGAGTTTTGAAGGAGAACTGGGTGGTCTGTTTTGTAACTGAAGTGACACAGTGCCGGACGTTGATTCAGGAGTTGAGTCCCAAGCCCATCTCTCTCTTGGGAGCCACGTGTGAGGCTTCGGCCAGCCCCCATGAGGGAGCGGCTGTCACACGGCCTGTCTTCCCCACCTGCGGGGCCACTGGTGGCTCGGAGATGAGCTCTTTGTGAATGACAGAGCACCCTAGAAAGTTACTGTCCCCCCGAATGCGTGACTTGCCTCTCGGTGGCTAATGAGGGAGGCCAGCAGTTAAAAAATACGTTTGTGAAGAATATTAGAGACTCTTTTTTCACTGCCTCTGCATTCTCTCCTGTCCTCTCTCTTCTAGGCTCTCATTTTGGGGGTGGAGGAGGGGGTATTAAAAAAATTCAAAATAATTGAATATAGGTTTTTTGGGCAATAAAATCGACTAAGAAGAAGAATGGAATTCTTTTGGGGAAAATAACATTTCACTTAATTGGGCTTCAAAGTTAGTGTTTCGTATCCACAAAATCAACTGCAAATGCTCATCTGTTAATGCTGATAGTGAGATTTTACATAGTTTACTTTTGAAATGTCACACAGCAAGGTACCACCGAATATTGCTACTAATCTGTGTGCACGTGATTTCCGTCCAGCACGTTTATTGCTTGGAGTGCAGTGGCGTCTGCCGTGTTGTCCAGGGACTACAGCTCAGCAGGGGTTTACTCCACAGCCACTGACATGGCTGTCCCTGAACTCAGGACGGCTGGCATTGGACCCTTAGCACCCGCCCAGTAACGTGTGTCTTGTTTTCACATAGGTCCCTGTGTTCCTGCTTTTCTTAGACTGTGTCTGGCAGCTGGTGCACCAGCATCCCCCAGCATTTGAATTTACGGAGACTTACCTGACTGTTTTGTCAGATAGCTTGTACGTACCGATTTTTAGCACCTTCTTCTTCAATTCGCCTCATCAAAAAGAAACTAACATGGTAAGAGTCCCTCTTGGGAACCTGTGTGTTGAAGAAGCTGCATCTCACAAGTAGGATGCAATGAGACGGATGATAAAAACAAAATTGATTTAACACTGACAATGTATGAGGCCCTATTCTGAGCCCTTTCCGAGTGTTGATGTTTAACCCTCACAGCATCCTGTGGATCTGTATTACTATGATTATCCCTGAGGCACAGAGAAGAGAAGTAACTCGCCCTCATCACTCAGTAAATATTGGGGCAAAAATGCTGGAGTTGGGGAATTAAACAGAATTAAAACTTGTCCTTTGTAAAGGCAGTCAGACCCGGTGCCTTCTCTTCCATTTGCCTGCGCATGTAGTTCCTCTGAAGAGAATGGAGATGAGGCAGAGCAAGGAGGCTGGGCTGGCACTGCCCTCAGACTGGCTGCCGGGGGTTTAACTCCGAGCAGCCTCGGTGCCCTGCCAGCCTCCTGCGGGTTTGCTTGAGCCGGCCTTCCGGGAGGGAGTTTGCCAAATCCCACGGTGAAGTGGGACACGAGAATCTGGGCTTTCAGTCACACAGCCCCGGTTTCAGGTCCCAGCCCTGCCACCCACCCACTTCCTGACCTCAGACAGTCGCTTCAGTTTTCTGAGCCTCATTTTCCTAAAATGTAAAATTGCAAAAATAATAGTGACTCCGCAGGTTGTTGTGAAAGTACCCAAGCATGGCTGGCATATGACCGGCTGGGAAAGAACGTGTCCTCCTTCCCTCCCTCGTCCCCGACCAAAGCCTAGCGAACAAGCCTTTGAGAGGGGAGCGCCGTGAATGGTGGGTCTCAGGGCGCCCGGAGCGCCTTCCTGGTGCCTGCCTCCGAAGCGTCTGTTTGCTTTCCGCGGCCCTCCGGGAGGCCGTCCTGACCTGTGCTTGTCTTGGCAGGGCAGGGAAGGCCGGGATGCACAAAGCAAGTCTTTGAGTCCGCTCACCGTGTGGGATTGGTCTGTACAGTTTGAACCCAAAGCCCAGACGTTGCTCAAAAACCCTCTGTATATGGAAAAGCCAAAACTGGACAAAGGCCAACGGAAAGGAATGCGCTTCAAAGTAAGATGTCCACATGCCTCACCCCCTTCATCTCCCCCCCCCCCGTGTATATCAGGCTAAAAGTTACATATGGGTTCTGGAAACAGCCTGCAGAGTTGAGGTTTGTGGCGGGCACACTGTCAGGTCCAGGAGAATCCTCTGCTTTCAGCAAAGCAGCCCCTGCCCCGGTGAGACGTGGCCTTGTGCTTAACGTCACCGGGGGCACTGCCGCCCACGCGGTTGTGCTGCGTGGAATCGAGCATCTCACCTGAGCATGTGGTGGCGGCGCAAAGGGAGTGGGATGGTGTGGGCTTTACTCTGTACCCGCCCGTGCTGTCCACGGCAAGACCTTTCTGCAGGACACACGCCTGAAGCTTTTCTGCCTTGGCCTGTGTGGTGTCTGGCACAGCTCCTGCTCTGTCGTCGCAGTGCAGACGGCTCCTGAGCAAGTGGGAGTGGCCGAGTGCCGGTACTCACCGGGACGGACACAGCCCAGGTTTGGCCCTGCGCTGTCAACCCCCAGTGTCGAGTTACTTGAGGTTCACTTGAGTATTTGTTCCTGACCTTACTGGTTAGTAAAACCCCAGGGTTCCCTAGATGATACCCAGTTCACGTGGCACTACCTGGCTCTGCCTCCAGGCCCGGAATTTCTCCCTCGCAGACCCTACAGAAAGGGGAGTGGGAGGGCAAGTCTGATCCTGCCTGCCCTCCAGGGCCCAGAGTCTGCAGGTGGCTGCATTGTAGAGGCCCCCGGGGGGCGCAGGTGAGCCAAAGCCAGTACTTGCAGAAGGGGCCGGCTAGCCACTTAGAGCTGCTGCTTTGCCCTTTGGGAGGCCCTCAGGCGCAGAGTGGATACTTGCCCACAGATTTAACCTCTTTCCCGCCAGCTGGGCCAGGACTCCGAGCTTGGAAGCTGCTTGGCCCGAGGTCAGTTTTTCTTCACTCACTCTGCCCCCTGGTGGCTGCATACACACTTCCTGGGACAGCCGGTTAGGATTGCAGAACTGGCCGGGCCAGAGGGTGAGGGACCTGAGAGAAGGCAGGGCCCAACCCTCCTGTTTGCACTGGGGGAAACGAAGACTCTGCCTTGTAAGACTGGATTGCATTTCTCTGCCCAGGTCGAGTTTTTCTGAGCGTCCCTTCTCCTTGTAGGTAGGAGCGGAGAGCCTAGGCTCCAGGAGCTGGCTGGTGGGAAAGGTTTGAGCCAAAGGGCTGGCCAGCCTCAGGTTTAACTGGATAAGGCCCACTTGGGGCTGGGGCAACGAGGAGCTTTGAAGCCGTTGGGTTAGGAGACCAGATGTCAGGCGCAGAGCCCCTTGTCGAGTGAGTGGATGCGTTGGAGAAGCTCTGTAGAGACTGAAGAGGCCATGGCAGGAAGTGCCGCTCGGTGACTGGCCACAGGTGACCGTGGGCCCGCTCAGCCATGCGATCTCGGCCACAGCCTCAGCCGTGACTGGACTCCAGCTGTGTGGTGCCATCCCCACCCTGCTCTTCTCAAACACTCTGTTCATGTTGGGCGGTGATTTCCAACCTTTTCCGTCTCACGGCACACAAACTCCATAGCACACCAAAAATATATATTTTTGCCAATTGGCCAAGAAAAATAGTATAATTTGGGTTCATTCAAACCAAATGGCTATTGTTGTGTTGGCTGTTGTCATTTTTTTTTTAATTTGATAGTCTAAGGGAAAAGAGGCCTGTGCCCCTGACTAAATAGCCAGGTACCACCTGTCTTAAACATTCTTGCGGTGCACCCATTGGAAATCGCTGGCTTAGGGGACGGAGAGAAGGGGCTCTCGAGACGAGCAGAGTTCTGTGAGGAGCCCGCACCTTAGAGCCAGACTGTCTGTGAGTGAAGCCAGCTTTGGCACTGGGTGTCTGGGGCTTTGGCTCGTTAGTTAACCTCTGTGCCTTAGTTTCCTCATTTGTAAGATGGGGCGATAAATGGGACCTTGAGAAGTGGATAAGTTGGTGCATATAAACCACTGAGCAGAGCCGGGTGGCAGTAAACGCTCAGTGGCTGTCAGGTGCCACTAGCATTCCTCACTCCCCTGCCCGCTCCGACCCCTGTGGGTCACTGGGAGAAGAGAGGCCAGCCACTGGCCCCTGGCCTTCGGCTCCCTGTCCCTAGCTGGAAAGTCAAAAATCCCAGTCAGCTCTGAGTTGGGGCTTTGTGGGTGGTTTTGCTTTCTTCTTTATATTTTAGTTGTTATTCCATATTCTATAATAAGGAAATGTTTCCTTTATAATAAAAAAAACTTTTTTACAAGGAAGAACCACTGGCAGAAATAAGTTAGAGAGTTGTTATAAGTCTAGCCTGAGAATAAAACTCTTGTCTGTTCTTATTTCAAATGGATACCTCAGGAGCAGAAAAGTTGGGGAGAAACAGCTTCCCCCTTTTTCCCCCTTCTGCTTTGGCCACTTGAGATCCCTCATAACCTCCCGGCCCCTTTGCCCACCCTCACAGCCCTTTCACAGCACAGCCACAACAAAGCGCCTTGCTTCGGCTGTAGATGGAGTTACCAAGGGGGAGAAGCCACGTGAAAGCGCTCACATTTCCTCCTCCTTGCAGCTTGTGAGGCCAGAACATCCGGCCGGTTTAGTCAGTCCCTGCGAGTGCTGTCGCCCCCACCTGACTTGGCCAGGAGAACCTTTCCGACGTGGGCTCGAACTCCCGCTGGACGCCTGGCACCCTACGGTTATTTCACTGATGGGGTAGTCAGGGCTGCTTCCTCGCACGCATTCAGAATACTGTAGAAGCTCAATAGTCTCAAAAAGGAAATGTTTTGTTCCCTACAGAAAACGGATAGACGCTGCCTCCAAACTCCCCTACGTCGTCACCCTGTCTTGAGTTAAACTTGTTCTTGTAAGTGCTCAGCGCCCTTTGGTGCCCCTGCGGCCGTGGGGCAGGGGCAGCGGAGGAGGCTTCCCTCTGTGCTGCCCGCTGCCTTTTTTGTGCGGCTCCGGACACACCTGTTTTCGCCCACTTGTGTACAAACATAGCGTACAGCTAACATCTGCATCAGAACTAGACAAGAAACCCCGCCCTCTCTGTATATTATAGCATTTTAATTTGTTTGCATTTACATAGCAATTCTGAGGGGTCAGGATTTGTAAATGCAGGATTATGCTCCTTTCTTTAATGGGAACAACAGTACCTATGCTGTCAGGCTAACCAGAGATTTTTATTTGTGTTTTCTCTCCAAAGCATCAACGACAGCTTTCTTTGCCACTCACCCAATCTAAGTCATCTCCCAAGAGAGGATTTTTCAGGGAAGAAACAGATCATTTAATTAAAAACCTCCTGGGCAAGAGAATTAGCAAACTCATTAATTCTTCTGATGAGCTGCAAGACACCTTTCGGGAATTCTATGACAGCTGGCATAGCAAGCCCACTGACTACCACGGTCTGTTGTTGCCTCACATCGAGGGGCCAGAGATCAGAGTGTGGGCCCAGCGCTACTTGCGCTGGATTCCAGAAGCCCAGATCCTGGGCGGCGGCACGGTGGCCACCATGAGCAAACTCTTGGAAATGATGGAGGAAGTACAGAGCCTACAAGAAAAAGTCACCGAGGGACACCCCCACCAGGAGGCCCTCCAGGCAGAGCCCCCCTCCCTGCTGAGGAACTCCGTTCGCCTGTCCTCTTTGTTTCCTTTTGCTTTGGTGCAGCGACCTTCCTCTAAGCCCGTCCTGCCCACCAGTGGCTGGAAAGCCCTGGGAGATGAGGAGGACCTGGCCAAACGGGAAGATGAGTTTGTGGATCTAGGGGACGTGTGACCTCTCTGGTCAGCGACTGTGGAAGAGGAATTTTGAAGCCTGGGACGGGAGGCCAGCACACGGACCTCTGGGCTGGTGCCACGCGACGCCCACTGCTGGACGCGGGGCCGCCGGCCCTGAGCGCTATGCGGCAGACCTGGGCCTTCTGGGGAAGAGCTGGTTCTCGGCGGGGGTGTTTGTTTTGTGTGTGTGTGTTTTTTTTTAATGGTCCTAAAAGACTATGCAATTAAAACCATCTGTCTAGTATTATTAATTGAAAGGAATTATTACTTGACCCATAATAGAATTGTAGCTGTTATCTGATGCGTAAATATTATACAGAATCTGCAGTAGCTGGTTTACTACTAAAAAGGGCTTTAGTAAGATATTCTTGGACTTCATTCTTTCTTCAGATCCTTTCTGTGCCAGGATAATTTATCCAGTCACTGGGAAGAGTCAGTGTCTCTCTCACCTGTCTCAGTTCGGAGCAGGTTCAGCTTTGTGTGGGGTGTGTGTGGCAAACAAAGATTCAGATCGTGGCGTTGAGATGTATGGCACTTACTCAAACCAACCACAGCATTTTTCCTTCCTGCATCTTCCTGCTTGGAGAGAAGCTGGAGAAATGCTACCCATGTCACCTATCCTGACGTTTCACACCGTCCTCCCTCCTACATCGGCCGTGTCGCTTTGTAGGGGTGCCGGCGCACCAACCACACCACCTTTGTGCTCGCACCTCCAGGCCTCGTCCCGCCTGCTCTGCCCCGCCCACCGCCGTCCTCCTGTGCTGCCCGCTCTGGTGCATGTGGGCCCAGGGTCTTGCTGCTAAACCCGGTGGTTAGACTGGAAGACTCTCTTGGGTCTGCCCAGAGGAGCTCCTGTTCTTCAGGAGGCCCTCAGTGTTTGCGAGTACAGTGGTACCTCGGTCCTCGTCAGTTCGTTCTGAGAGGCCAGCAAGCGACGGGAGATGAAGCACTTTCTCTTGTGAGGTGCCGTCTGACTCACACAAGTTCCAGCGAGCGCGGCAAGCAGTGAGCAAGCGCCGAGTGCTGAAACCTTTTTTCTCATCAGAATGCAGTGAGCACCAGGTTTGATGAGTCCTGAGGCTGACGAGTGCTGAGGTACCACTCTCATCGCTCTGCCGCCTTCTAGCAGCATGCCGCAGTCCCGGAGCCGTTGGGACCACGGACCCTGTAGCCGGCACTCCTGAGCTTTCCCCACATTCTCTGTCCCCCGGCAGACTGATGAGGATCGCTTTTGAATGTGGCTTTCATAGGGAAGCAGTTAAGCATAAATGTCCATAGTGAAGGGTATGGTATAGTACCTCAGCAACTTAAAAGCCATAGAAGAAACGTAACTGTGTCTGTTAACCTTGCATCTGCTGTCTAAGTGATCTATATTTTTAAATGCAGGAAAGTACCCTTTGTAAGGACCAGTTTTTTCATTCTCAAAGGAACCCTATTAAATCCCATTAAAGGGAAGGGGAGGGAAAAAAACTAATGTTACAATGTTTCAAATGGAATGTTTGCCTTTTATATACATTCACTCTCTGGTATAGATCCCAATGTAAATATTACATGTTTAAAAAAACTTTGAGTTGCTCAAGGTCGATAAGAAGTTCTGAAATGATTAACAAAGAAGTTTCTCAGTTTGCACTGAATCGTCTTTTGTAAGTACCAGAAGCCACTTTGCCACTCCACTCCATGGAGACACACGAGCCGGGGTCGTCTGTTAGGATGGTCCAAGGCTGAGGGGAGGGCAGGGTTCACACGTGGGGGCCAAGCACATGTCCAGTCTCGGTTGCCTTAAGATTCTCACTAGGGAGGTTGGTGTTAGGCTTGCAATAGGGATTTTGGAAATACACCAGTTCATTCGCTACCTTCGCATATTTTCTGTGGGCCTTCTGAAACCGGCACTAACCTCTGCTTCTCTGCCCCAGCTGTTTCCCAAGGACACTATGGAGCTAACTATTTTTTTTTTTTTTACCACATTGTAACGTGAATATTTATACAGTGGTCTCTTCAGTCTTAGGATCTTAGTAATTTTCATTCCAGAAATGCCCAGTGTGAGGCTTTACACTTCACAAAGATGATTTAAAGACCCTTGTCATAGCAGTTGAATGTGCATTGAAATATTTTTCTACGAGTTAAAAAAAATTACAATAGAAAAATAAGCTGTTATAACATGGAAGGTCGTGACCATTTATGTATTTATATTTGAAATCAGATTTCTATAAACTTGTATTTGTGTACAGAATTCTCAGTGGCTTTATATATTGTGACATTTTTATTCAAGATTGAAATGTGGGTTATGCTTAACAGTTAAAGCTGAAATGAGACCATTTTCTTTGTTTAAAATGCACTGTGCAAGTTCGGAAATGTACATTAATTTACTGTATATAATATCTTGAGTTTGTTTATACCTCCAAGTTTTTACACTGAAGATAAATTAGCTTTAATTACATTCAAAACTTTTTTTTTAATGGAATAAGCTGTTGGGCGAAATCTGTATAAATGTGCTTTTTATTTTCTGGATGTACAATGAAAGTTTATACTTGTATCTCACTGCATCATATCTGATTGCAGAAATTAAAGCACAATTTACTAGCAATCCTGTGTTCAGTATGGTTGATAAAACATGGATTAGTTACTTTCACTCGTGTGTTTGTGTGTGTGTGTGTGTGTGTGTGTGTTGGTTGGTTGGTTGGTTGGTTGGAAATGGTGGAATATCAATAACCAAATATTTAAAATTTCAAGTGGTTATAAAATACTACGATGAAAAATAAAATAGGGTAGGAGGCGTATTGGAGGGACTGAAGGAAGCAGTGTTTTAAATCCCAAGAATTAAATGTCACTCCCTCTCCTTGGGTGGGGATGTGTAAAATGAGGATTGCGTTTTATTGCTGGAAGAATTCTGAGTTCAGTTAAACCAAGAAAGAGAAAGGCTTTGCTTTTCCTTCCAGAGAAGGTAACTAGGCTCGCCCACCAGGTCCCCTGGGAGCACAGGAGGCTCTCTAGGTCCGTACGGTACGTTTAACCCTTGACCGATGCAGACCTGTTGCTTGTGTTTGTTGGGAGAAGTTTCATTTCCCTGACCTCTCTTACCTGCATCCCTTTCCCTTTTAGTCAGAACAAGAGAAGAGGTCGCCCCCCTACCCACGTGCCCCTCCTTGCGTCAGGGAGCGAGTTCTGAGACCTCCCTGGAACTCATTAAGCCGTCATTGCTACACCGTTGTTTTCACAAGCTTCAGTCCTTTCATATTTGTATTAAATTCCCAAGTGGTAATTAGGACCCTACTGACTCGCAGATTCTTGTCCGGTTTTCTGCGCTGGTGGCACAGCTCCTGGGCTTGTGCGCACTGGCTCTGTCTCCTGAATTTGCTTGTTCCGTCGTTCCCAGGGGAGGGCGCTAGGAGGACAGAGGGGCGCAGAGTGGAGCATTTCCCATCTCATGTGAAGCGGGGTGTTGGGGGCGGGGCTCCTACTGAGAACGCCTTCAGCTCCTGTGCCTGCCTGTCACCCCTCCTGTCCTGGAAGGGCAGTCAGGCCGGGGCGCCTGGACTGCAGCCTGTTTCCTGAGCCCCTCCTGAGGTTGTCAGCGTTGCTCAACAGGGAAAGCTCTCCTCAACTGTGCTCTAGAGCATGTGTGAAGCCAGCCCTGGGCAGGACCGGCGGACACTGAGCACCCGGGACCACCTCCCGCCACGCAAGGGCAGGGTCTGTAGTGACTGCACCTTCCACACATGCCCTTCCAACAACCTCCCGACAGGCGAGCGCGCGCGTGCACACACCCCCACACACACCCACACACACCCATAGCGCCTTTAAAATATTAGCAGTGCAGGGGGAGGCCAGGCCCTGTTTGTGGTACGCATCCCACTGTAAGCAGAATGTGCCCTAGCACTTACACGTAAGTATATTGGTAACTAGGCCAGCTGTGGGTAATACAAATAACTGCTTATTGAAGAGGAAAGTAATTGATTGGTGTGATGGTTTTGTGCCATGAAAAACACAGCCATCTTAGCCTATTTTGTGGTTCAGGCCCAGGTTCTTTTTTTTCTTCTTTTTAATCCTCTGCCTACTTATCAATTAAAGGATATGAAGTGTCAACTCACCTGGAAATGTGTACAGTAAGCTTTTGGCCTTTTAAGAAAAACTTTCCAGTTTTGCTAGCCAATCCCATTTTTGTCGAGTAGTTACTTTTTTAAAATTTAGATTTGCGTGTTCCTTTTATATAAGGCTGTGTGGCTTCTTTTCTTTCTTTCTTTTTTTTAATACTGCAGGGCGGACTTTTCAAACGACCTTCACAGAGGCTTGGGACAGGCAAGTGGGCGCTTACTCATCCCGCCCCGCAGGCAAGTTCATACCAGTCTCGGTCAGGGCAGGAATGCGGACAGACAGCGTTTCCTCCCCGAGGCTGAGCCTGAGGGCCTGGGCTTGGGGCCTTCCCGGGAAGCTGCCCACTGGCCTCGCTGAGAGCTGAACACAGCCTCTCCCAAAGCTAGGGCGGGAAGAACCGGCAGAGGTTGCCTGTGGTGGGGCTGGAGGTGCAGGGGCAGAGATGCTGGGAAAGGGCGTGAGGGAAGCTTCTGGAATGATGGAAACACTGTATCTGCTAAGGGTTTGGATTGTACAGGTGTATGCCAGAACTCTGAGCAGGTACGTTTATGTTTCATTGTATTTAAATTTTAGATGAAAACTAGGCAATTGCTGAACTTGAATGAAATGATTCTAACACCAAGTTATTTAGGGGGTGTACTGGTCACTGCAGTTCACTTTGACACCAGCAACAGGAGGGACTAATGGGTGGACGGAGGGACGGACAGGACTCCACATGTGATAAGGCAAGTGGAGAGAATGTCAGCGGAGCGGTCCAGGGTTGCGTAGGTGCGAATGTGGGTAGTCGCAAATTCCGTAAACTGTTACGTTTGAATCTTTCCATAATAAAATGTTGGAAATGTTTTTAATTCTTAAAAAAGTATAAACATACAAAAAATGCACATGGGAGTATATTGATTCTTTCTGGGAGAAAAGAAACCCTGTTCTTAACCAAACTACCTGCATAAGAAGGACGTAAAGGCACTTGGAGAGGGAACTAGAAGGCTCATGTCCCCCTCACGCCGCTTTTTCTCCCCTGTCTCTCTCTGTCATCATTTTCTGTTGCCTGGATCACTGTTAGAAACTCTCTCTGCTTTTAGTCCCTTCTGTCTTGCTGCGGATGAATCTTCCTAAAGTAATCCTGTAAAGGATATTTTTTAAAAATCCTTTTTTTTTTAAGCTTGAAAACTTTTAATGGATGCATCACTAGAACTCAGGGTTGCAGTAACTTAAGCCAGAAAGAGAAATCACGTGAGTTTGAAGGTTTAGGTCCGAGGTGCTATCGGGTCTCAATGCCAAAGCCCGTGCAGTCTTCTCTGGGGCTTCTTTGCTTCCCCCGCTCCGCACACCAGCTTTCTCTTCTTTCCACTCTCCTAGAGCAGCTCTGTTTTCCAGAGACCAGTCCGATGGAAGCTGGAACCTTGGTCCTCCTTCTCAACCCTGGGGAAGAGCCTGGGCTTGCTCACTGGGGGCGGGGTCATTGTGGAGGCCTAGGGCCGCTTCTACTGTCCTGCCTGTGCGCTCTGAGGGCCTCAAGTTTTGTATCAGCATGACTGTTGCGTTTCCACACCGGCCTGAATGAACTCCGGCATGAGCCCCTGGCAGAGGCTGCGTAGTGCGGTGGTTAAGGGGCTGGGTGCTTTGGAGCCAGACAGCCTGAGCCTGAACGTTCTGCAACTTACCAGTTGTGGGACTGGGCTGGGGGTAAACGCCCCTCTGTCTCAGCTTTTTATCCATGAAATGACAGCGTTCATAGAACCCACCCCACTGGAGTATTAGAGGGTTTAAGAAGAGTTCCTTTGAACCGCCTCACAAAGTAAATGCTCAATAAATGTTAGCTGTAATTAGAGTATGTGAATGGTTATTTAAATACTTCATATAAACAGAGGACTGTGTGTGTGTGTGTGTGTGTGTGTGTGTGTGTACTTTAACTTCCACCCCAGGAGCAGTTAGCACTTAAAAAACTCTAAAACAGAAATCCGAGTTCCGAAGCCGGCTACACAGGCACTTTAGGTGCTCTGAAAATCCACCTAGAGGGTTTGTCGAGCGGCACATGGATGTTAATCATCTGTCAATGTGAAACGAGTGCTGTACTTGGGGTATGTGGGTGGCTAGAAATATAGAAGCCTCATCCTGAGACCTACAGCATAAAAATACCCATTAGGCCCAGCAGCATAAGCACCAGGGAGCACAGCGCGGTGTCTAGAAACCTCGTGGATGCAGGGGCCTGCCCATCCTCTGACAGACTACAGGATTAGCTGGTTCTGCTTTCTCACTGCGTCTATCTTGGGAGTGAAACTTGCATTCAAGGTGCTGGGTGGAGGACAGAGAGAAGGACTTCCCCACAGCCTAAGAACAGGAAACAAGATTATTTTGTGCAGTTAATAAATGTGGGCACATCTGGTAGACTTGCTCCAAGGCCGACTTCCATTGTGAAAGCCATCTGCTAAGGAGGCTGTGATGACGGTGGCAGGGACCTACAGCCCCCTGCCTGCCTCTGACCTCCAGAAGCTACGGACACTTACCAGAAGCATGTCGCAATTGCCGAATGGCCAAATAGACTTAGGTCAGTTCATGACATCCCCCAAGATTTACTCGAAGTTCGGTTGTTATATATAGTTAGAGTTCCTGGATATTCAGTCACAGTTTTACATAGTTCATCTGAAGGCCTCCGCCCTCATTGCTTAAAGTTGTACGGGAGGCTCAGGATGTGTGAAGTCTGCTTGTGGCCTTTGGTCCATCGTGGCCGCTGCCTAGGGGCTCTTTGCCTCAACTCCGTACGTTTTAGTTTGGAATCCCCCAGCAGCCAACTCAGGGACCAAGATTCGGGTGCCAGTAGGTAAAGATTTGGCAAGTGATCCCAGGCAGCACTGTGAGAATGAGGATCTAGGTCAGGAAGGGAAAAACAATAGGGCATTACTGAGCAAGTTACTGCTGGGGTCCTCCAGGACTCAGCCCTGCTGGGGACCCTCTGAGAGACGGTCGGAATTCGGGTGGGGCTTGTTGGTTATGCTCATATCTCTTCGCTTTGCCTTTCTCACTCAGCCACCGTCCTGTGGCAATTCCTCTAGGCCAGGTAGGGAAGATCCACCTCGTTCCTCATGTAGTAGCTGGTCAGAGAGCAGCATGAAGGGCTTTGGAGCAGCCCCTTCAAGCCCATTCCTCACTGACGTTTTGGCTCCGTGTTCTACCTCAAGAGAAATTTCCTGATTTCTCCCCAAATTCCAAAGGTGGGACTGCCTGTACCCCGCTCTTTACCAAGAGGTACTATTTCTGTAGTCTCAGTGCCCGTGGGCATTTCTAAATGCCCTTCCTGTTCGTACCAGGAGGCTGAGTTTCGTCCTGCTTCAGAGCTTCTGGTTGCAGGGCCTGATTTCCCAGAATTCTTGACGATTTGACCCACACTGTCCCTTGCCCCACAGGAAATAGCAAAATGAGCTACATGATTATGTGATT